ATTGTCTTTTACTCTCTCTCTCTCTCTCTCTCTCTTCCTTTTTGTAGTTCACTATGTGTGGCAACGTAAAGAAGAATGATTATGTAAAATATATAAATATATATAAATAGATAAAAAACGATTTATATCTGTCTCTCGCCCGCGGACACGCACTCTTAGACACTTTCAGTCTGATTCACTCTGGTATATTGTTAGGAGTGGCTGATTGTGAGTTTATGTATGTACACGCACTTTCTCAAACTCTCTCTCTCTCTAACTCTCTCTATCTATCTCTATCTCTCTCTCTCTCTCTATCTATCTCATACACTCATATATATTTATATATATATATATATATATATATATATATATATATATATATATATATATATATATATATATATATATATATATATATATATATATATATATATATATATATAATATATATATATATATATATATATATATATATATATATATATATATATATATATATATATATATATATATATATATACCAATTGGCATATATACTACATCCAATATGGTACTATCATTGTTTTTCAACATTATTCAATTGTACAACCTCTTTTTGTTATTAATCAATTTCAACTGTACTACCTAATACAATAAAAAGTTTAATGTAACACTACACCAAAACAGGCATTTTCTAACAAACTATAACCGTTACAATAAATATTACTAACGGCGTAATTCCGTTAGAAAACGCATGTTAGAAATTCATAGGTTCAAATTACTAACGGAATTTGTCCGTTAGAATAAATAATCAGACCCATTAGAAAAATAATTAAATGCAACGCTTATATCCGTTAGAAGTTATATTGTAACGGTATTTATTGTAACACTTCTGTTATTTGTTCTAACGCATATTTCCGTTAGCAAATTAATTAAGTGTTAGAAAAAAAATTACTATTGCTAACGGTTAGATTCGTTAGAAACAAAAATACACCGTAAGAAACGTAAATAATACTAACGGTTAGTTGTGTTAGAAAATCAATTGTAACATATTGTGATGTAACCCTTGTTAATTTGCTAACGGATATAATCGTTAGAAAAGTTAAATAATTTTGAGAATTTTAATAATAGTAACGCTTAGATTTGTTATAAATAAATCAACTTTTCAAAATATTTATTTTTTTGTCAATTAAAATTATTAAAGCCTCGACATCATTATAGAAAAACGAGCTTGGGCAGAATATGACGCACATATTTCCACCGAACCTGTATTACATCGTTCAAAGTAACAACAATTCCTATGATGTACATCACAAATATTCATAAATAAAAACAAAATTCAAATCTCTAATAAAACATAGAATGTAACCATCCATCAAAGTTGTAATCATTTATCATAAATAAACTGTTCAACTCAAGTTATCCAGAAAAACAAAATAAAACAAAACAAAACAAAATTCGATGGACCATCAACTATTAGAACAAATTATCCACCATTCCAAGTTAATCATCTAAATAATCCATGTAAAACTAAATTATAAACTCAAATATTTACTAACCAGCTCTGAAACCAAATTACAAATCCCCCTTGGACGAAGCCTGCCAACGTATCATAACCCCCTTGAGGAGGGTCCCACACACGAGCATTAGGATCAAGTACTTCTTCAATATAAACTTTATGTTCCTCAGGTCCAGCAATTTTGAAGTGACACACCCTGGAGGTATCATGTGTCACTACATATCCCCTGGCTATTTTTCTTCCAAACTTATCACACAAGTAAACTTGAGGATTTGGAGCGTTGGCATTGGCGGGAGGGGCATGCAATACAGTAGGGATGTTCAAATGTTGAGTCGAATAAATAGGAGGACTCGTTGAATTGGATCTAAGCTCACTTGAAGATGCAGAAGTATAACTCGTTTTATCAATCTTTGAAGTAAACCTTCAAGACCGTCAATTCTGGAGATAATCTCATCCTTCTCATCTCTAGCATCTTTAAGAGCTTTTTCATTTTATTGAATCTTTGACTTTGCTATCCCAAGATGAGTTAGTTGTTTCTTCGAGATACATGAACCTACTGCACGTACTCCTACCTTTCTCTCTTTTCCAAACACCTCTGCTATCGCACTGTATCAATGTCACCATAAGGCTCTGTACCTTCATCTCCACTCGAGTTTTGGATTTTTCTTTTATTTGCAGCAGCTTTTACTTGCTTTTGTTATAGTCAAATAAGAAGATTTGTGAGATAATAAACAATTTCAATCTTCATAACATGTTAAAAATTTAAAATTAGTTACTTACATATTTATTTTTAGCACTCTCTAAGACAATCCCATCAACGTGCTCATGTGCTGCTAACCATTTCTTAGCTCGAGTAATCGATCTTGAAGGATTTTCTTGTAGCTAAACAATAACATTATTAATTAGCCTAAAAAATAGCATAAAAATTAAAAATAAATAAATGATACATACCATTAATATTCCTTTTATCTCTAATATAAACTAACATACTACAATTTGAACTATTCTTGCATACATACATTACCTATTTATCATCATAAAGAATCATGCTATATAAAAAAATAACTTATATAAATTTACCATAGAACTCCATTTTTTACAAAACTGAATGTAATATCAGACACCATTTAACCCAAAAAAAAATTATAGCATGTAATTTCAGAGAACTTATCAATTTTAAAAATCAAATAACCCCAAGGGAAATTTCAATATATAAGAAAATCATGAAATCTATAAATTACAAAAAAAATAAAATTGAATACAATGGGATGTGAAAAAAAATAGGAAACGTGAAGGCGAGGAGAAAACAATTGATGATTACCTGCACTAATGGATGATTGACTGAAACTCCCGAACAAATACGGTAGTAGCCACGAATTCCTTCTCTTCCAACTCTGCTCCCAATTCCTCTCTGCCGCCACCAAGTAATTAGGGAAGAAATTTTTTCAGTGAAAAAAGGCTAATTCATATTAAAAATATACCAATGTTTTAATTATAACTCATATTGAATATTTCTAGTTCAAGCGTAGATGCATTTTCCTCGTAATATCACAACTTCATCTACAATTCCACATTGCACACTGACCCAAAATATTAACACTACACTATAAAACAGCCCCGAAAGATTGACTACAGAAACTGCCAGAATTGGCAGATTCAGACTCGCTCGTTTCGCACTTCAAACAGACCGTAAAACTCTATCAACAAGAGTAAAATTCAGAACATCCTTAAACTTCTCCATGCTATCTACTATTTTTAAGAAGAAACTGTTTTAAAACTCTAACTCTAAACCCCTCAAATTATGCCCAAAAAACGAAGGCGGCAAATGGTTTATTATTTTTGAAATTCCGCCGATACAACTGTCGGATTAAAATCGGTTTCGTAGTTCGTACAGTAGTCTGAATTTGGGGAAAAAATGTTACCCGTATAGAATTTGGCCTGCTCTACATCTTTCTAAAACAAATAAATTCGAAATTCAAAGTCTAATTACCTCTAATTTCGGCGACCACCAACACCTGAGACAACAGCCGTAAACCACCACCGGAAAATTAGCTTATGTCGACGGCTTCCTAAGGATGTATCCTGCTCGCCAAAACTCCACCGAATCGGCTTCAATTAACGATTTCTCCTCTTTATCAATTGAAACCCTAGCTCCCTTTTCCTTTGATTTGCTTTCAATTTCTCTGGATTCTCTTATGAATTCAATTTCCTCTGAAGATATGGAGAAATTGAATGAAATAAAAGAGGCAGACGAGAGAGGGATAGGTTTTGGGGAGAAAAAAAAATTATAAGGGCTGAAATCGTGGGAGAGAGGGACGGGTTTGGGGGAAAGACAAAAAGAGCAGAATTGAGGGCTACGGTGGTTGAACCCGTGAGAACTCCTTCTCTATTTATTATTAAAATAACTAATTAAGGAACAAAAGATTTAATATAAATAACTTATAAATTATTAACAGTAGCTATATTTCTAACTCATTATCTGTTAGAATCCAACATTATGTCCGTTAGAACAAAATATAAATAAAATAAAAATGACTTATTACAAATACTAACACATAAGTTGTATTGCTAACGGATATATGTGTTAGCAATTACTAACGGGTATATCCGTTAGAAATCATAAAATAGTGGTGTTAGAAAATTGCTCATTTGGTGTAGTGTAAGATGAAAGTGGTGTGTAATGTATTATTGTAATTAATTGCCAAATGAGGTTAAAGAGTGCCAATTCCCAAGTGGGGGGGGGGGGACGCTATGATTTAATTATAGAAATTTGAAATCTTATATCGTCACAATTAAATAATAAAAAAATACTTGAAAAACATGTGATACATAAACACAGTGACAGAATTATAGGCATAGGTTTTGACTGCTAAGATATTTCAAAGAAAGTTTAAATAGAGTTTCCACCCCTAAAGTATGAATGGTGGTAACATTTAACCCCTTGTGTATTAAATTTTACCACTTTCTTCCTCTGTTAGGGCATCTCCAACCTTGAGTGGTAAAAAATGGGATGCTATATCTATTTTAGCTAACAAATAATGTTTTAACAACTCATTTTCTACCATTCACTCCAATCATATAATGTATAATTTACCATTCTATTATATTTTATTATTTGTTGAATATTTATTATTTTGACTTTCTACTTTTTGCCACCAAAAACCTATTATTTTAATATTATTTCTTATACCATTTGTGAATAGTTGAAAGCTATGTATAGCATTCCTCTCTCTTCCTTTAGCATGTGAGCTAAATTTTAGCTTACCCATTGGAGATGATTTTTTTCTATTTACAAGAGGTAAAAGCTATATTTTAACTTTTAACTCTCCATATTCATCATGGTTGGAGATGCTCTTAGTAAACTTAGCTGTGAAAGGCTGATTTAGATGACATGGCAATATTCTATTGCTGGAAAGAAGTAGTTGTACTTTGATCCCAATAATACCCTTTATAGTTTATATGCATACACAATCCACCTCAAAAATAAAGCTTAAGAAAACCTTCAAAATTCTGAAATTTAATTAAGCAAGAACATATAATCCATCTCAAGTTTAACATTATTCAGGTTTTGGCGAATGTTCTGTCTTACGTCATGAATTTGTGATAAGCTGTTGTTAAGATTGTATCAATTAATTAGGTATTTTTTGTTGTATTTTCTATTAATATGAAGAAAAAAAAATTGTTGTATTTTATTTATCAATTAATTACATATTTTTTGTTGTATTTTTATTAATAGGAAAATCTTCTTTTTTGTGAATTTTTTTTTTTAACGAATTCGTGTTTGTTAAATTTTTCAAAAATAATTCCTACGACAATTTAAATAACTTCTCTTTCCGCCAGACATGATTTGAGATTTGACGGTTAAAGTAAAAAGATTTGACTCTTACGCTAGACTAAAAACATTTGAAAATAACTCCCAAAATGAATCGATCGTTGCATAATTCTTCAAAATGAACAGTACACATAAAGGGCTTTATTGGGATAAAAAATGCAACTAATCATTTTCCGAAAAGAATATTACCAAATCAGCAAATCTCTAAAGACTTCTATGCAAGAGAAGCAACATATAAGAAAGTAAACAAACATCTATAGTCATTAGTCAATGATTTCAAATAAATAAAAGGGTTGACTGCAAAAAATCCCCTAAACATACGACATTTTTACAATTATCCCCTGAATGGAAAAAAGTTGCACGAGCATACCTGAACTCAATAAATTTACCAGCACCACTATTTTCACTAATTCATTTTTTACTCCATCACTTTCGGCTTCTAATTTTCGATACAATAAACTTGTTTTCTAATTTTCGATACAATAAATTGATAGAAAATCTTCGATACACACAAGAAATACGTTAAAAATCCACTGTCGATGAATTCTTAATAATAATAGTAATGCTTCTCTTTCTTTTCTTTACACATAAATCATTCATAAACACAAACATAAATCAAGGCAAAGCAAACTGGAAAAAACTCACCGCACCTTCTTGTTAGACTTAAACGGGAGTCTCGACGGGGGCGAATGCGTAAATTCCAAGGGCAGCTGAGGCGGAACCAAATCCCCCAATAAAATCCCCACAACCTCCTTCATCGAAGGTCTTTTAGAAGGCGATTTCTGCAGGCAAAGCAACGCCACTGTCACACACATCAACGCTTGCTCCTTATCCAAAGAGTCAATGCTCTGGTCAACCAAATCAAGAAGCTTCCCAGCCCTAGCCAAATGCCGGGCCCACGACAAAAGATTCGCCCTTTGGAATTCCGACATGGGTGAACCAGTCACCTGAAGTGGCCTTCTCCCCGAAATTAAAACCAACAACAGAACACCGTAACTGTACACATCGCACTTCTCCGACACATCACCGCCACCACCATACTCCGGTGCGATATAGCAAACCGTCCCTCTCATACTCGGCGTGCTGCTAATACCTCCACTCTTAAAAATCTCCCCACTCATCGAATCGTAACTATTTTTACGCGCTTTCCAAAGTTCACCGCTCACACCATCCAACCACCAGTCCATGCTTCCCCTACTACCCCTGCTTCTGCTTCTGCTACGTTTCGTCTTTCTATCGGAGTACAATTCGTCATCTCTGGCCCACCGATTTTCCGTATAACAATCATCGCTTACAGAACCTTGTACTTGTTTCTTCTTCTTCTTCTTTCTTTTTTTCTCTAACTCTTCGCAGTATTCTTCCTTCCACCACTCTCTTGCGGGTCTTCTCTTGTCTTTTTTTACATTTTTTTCTTCATCCAACGATACCCACCAATCCAATTGTCTTTTTTTGCTTTTCTTCTTATTATTCTTCTCAATTTTAAGAGACGAACGAGCGCTAGATGATGAAGTACCGATCCAGTCGCTTTTGGGCCTCTCTTTCTTGATTTCGTTCCCGATCCATTCCATCACGTAATCTTTAACCTTGCCAGATTCCGAATCGACCCCATTATCTTGCTTCCACCACCAGTCTTTACCAGAAATGCTCTTCTTCTTCTTGCTCCACACACTCCTTTCTCGTTCGGCCCCACTTTCGATGCTGGACTTATCGAAGTTCCCTTCTGAGACACTCGTTTTCTCCAGAATATCAGATGGGGAAGCCATTGCAGCAACTGTTCTTGGAGAAACAACAGGGCCCACTTCTGCCTCCGGCGACAAATCAACACCCACCGCCGCCACAGACTCCGGCGAAGCCTCCACCCTAACAACCACACTTTCGGGAGACTTATCTATACCAATTAGATGATGAACACTGTTAACTTCATCAAATCCACTAGTTGTAATCACACTTTCAGTCTCCTCCATCACGGATCCGTTATCCTCCACCCCGTTTACGAAACTACCCTCCTTCTTCGCCTCACCTTCGATGATGATATTATTACTATTATCCTCTACCTTAAACCTAGCCAACCCCAAATCGCCAATCTTAGCGTTGAAACCCCGATCCAGCAAAATATTACTCGGCTTTATATCGCCGTGAATAATTGGTGGATCGCAATAGTGATGTAAATACTCCAACCCTTTGGCTATGTTGAGAGCAATTGAAACCCTCTTATCCCAATTTCTCAACTCTTCACTTTTCTTATGGAATAAACAGTCTTGTAAGCTACCATTTTCCATAAGTTCGTAAATTAAAAGCATACGGCGTCTCCTAGGGTTTGATGAAAAACCAGTAACGGAGACAACATACTTACAGTCGATCTTCGAGGAGAAGAGTAGTTCGTTCTGAAACTCACGCTCCCCTTGCAAGGAACCCGAATCCATAACTTTGACGGCCACATGGGAGGAGGTGAAGACGGAGTCCTTGGAAAGGGGGCGGCTAGGCTTGAGCTCGGCGCGGTAGACCGAGCCGAATCCGCCCTGGCCGAGGCGAAGGGAAGGGGAGAAATTGGAGGTTGCGCGGCGGAGAGCGGAGTAGGAGAGGCGGTAGGGGGGTTTCTTAGAGTCGGTGTCTGATGCGGCAGGCGCTGTGCGTTTTTTGGTGATTCTGCGGAAACAGAGGATCAGGAGGAGTAGACAGGAAAAGGCGGCGGTCAAACCGCCGGCGAGAGGCGGGAGGAGGTGGCTGATGCGGTGGTGGGACGCCGGCGGCGGAGAGAGGAGTTGTCGGGAGGGCATATTGGTAATTTAAGGGATCGGGGGTGGGTGGGGGCGGTGGCGTTAATGAGCACAACTCATAACAGAGAGTGACGAGAGAGAGAGAGGGCAGAAAAAGGAAAAAGAGTAAATTGTGACACAGACTTCTGAATTGTGTATATGAACTGAGCAAAAGAGTAAACACACTCAACTTCAGCCTGAAGCCTTTTTTTTTTTTTTTTTTTTTTTAATTGATGCAAAATTGAAGAATTAATTAATTTATTTAAATAATATTAATTTCAGAAATACTTCTTACACTGAATCTAGGTAAAATACGAAGAGTCAAAAGACTTTCCCATTTCCATTTTTTGAAATACTTTATTTTTCATTTTATTGAGAAATATATTGATGGAATCAACTGAGTATAGCTTTTTCAATTGTACCAAAGTCCAAAACAAATACACACTCAATTATTTTTTATTGATTTAATTTAAGTCGATTGGATAGAAAATTAGGACAGGTGGGAATTAGGTGGTTTTACTTTGTTTGTTTCCTTAAATCTTTTTTTTTTTTTTTATTGTAATACTTTAATTGAATATATCCCAACTTAGATTATAGACCTTTTCAATGGTTATTCATTTTTCCATAACCATAATATATCTTTAGTGGTTGGACAACTAATACTTTCTAGACTTTTAGTGCTGTTATTTTTAGTTATTGAGTAGACTGAAGCAATAATTTGTCTAAAAATGATTTCATTCCAAAACTAACAAGGTCTTACTACATTGTTTTCAATTTCATTTTTTTTTTTACAATATTGAAATAAAGTCAATACTAAGATCCAAAGTTTAATCCACTACATAATTTTTATAGAAATATGACGTTTAAGTAGGAAAAAAAACTTGGATAAAGAAAATAAAGTAGTGTGAAACAATCTAACAAACAAGCTTTAGAAAGTGAAAGTAAAAAAGTTGAATTGACTAAAAGATGCCTTGGCATTAAGCCATGAATGGAAGCTTTTTTATTCCTTTAGTTTTTCATCATAGCAACAAAAAGTCACACATCCCAAATTTCTAAGTGGATATATAGCAATATTTCAGCTCCTCGTGACAAATTGATAGTCAAGTGCACTCAAAGGGGTTGGTTTCAATCAACCATAGTTTCATTTCCTTGTTTTTTTTTTATAATTATTATGATAAAATGTAGTAATAATAATAAGAATTTTCTGAAAAATAAAAAAATATGAAGTCTCTTTTTGAATAAGAAACCATGTGGGGTTAAGTTTGGACCATTTGCCCCCAAGCTTGGAATTACTCAAACTATTGGGTCAAAGGCCCACATGGCTTTGCTTTGCCCACAACAAAGTCCAATTTCCTGATTATATTAATTGTAATAAAAGCCACGTGGGGGCTACCCATCCAACGCTCTTGTCTCTTCTTCACAAAATTATACACTCATTTTGAATTTTATTAAATGAGATAATAAAAATATAGAAAATTCAATATTCTATAAATTATTCTGAAATCAAGATTCCGAGTTTAATTTGCTCACCTTTGTCGGTAAAGCTGACTGCAACTTTGAGTTACAAAAACAAACTTAGTGGGAGAGTGGGGGTTTGCCGGTTTTTTTATGCTACACCCGGTGAAATACAACGGGTGATTATTAACCGTTGATATGCACACAATCACACACACACCCATGTGTATGTGTGCTTAGTGGGAAGTTATTTTACCACATCAACGGATAATAATTAACCGGTGTATTTCACCAGGTGTAGCATCTCAAAGACCGGGGTTTGTCAGATTATATGAACTAAACAAACTAACTAGAATACAGTTATTTATGGTGTATGATAATTACCAAAACCACTCACGTGTTGAATCCTCAGCTTTCACATTGGTTGATACCAAAGGCATTGTTCCATATAAATTAATGAAATCATCCAGACATTTATTCCTCTTACCGCTGTGTCCGTTGAAACTGCTCATGCCAGATGAACCAATCTCGTATATCTTCCCTGAATATTATTCACGGCAACCATTTTATGCAGCTAGATTTCAAATATACGTACGCATTCGATTTAGGTTAAACTGTAGAAATTCGTACCTTTAACCCATATAGGAGGAGCCCCAGTGGCATTAGCAACTAGAAGAGACATTGCTATGTCTTCGCAGTTTCTGACGCACGCACGAAAAATCATCAGACCGGAGATAATTGAATTAAACATATTACGTGGTGTTGAAAAAACTAAATGTACCTTCCTTTGCTGACGTAATCTTGAATCGATGATGGCATTTTGTTGGTGTACATGTCGAGGTAGTTTTTATGGAAGAATGCAGCTTTCGAGAGAACCATGCTGTAAGTTCCCATCCACCAAACCGACCACCATCCTCCGTATACGTAATGGACCGCCCCATTTTTCTAGAAGCAGATTCAAATATACACGAAATAAAACATGTAAAATATTTATACAATCGTTAGTATGAAGGAATCTAACTTGTGTCGAAATCACTGCTCTGAAGCACTATATCAATAGAATACATTGCCTGGAAAACAGATTTTACATACAATTAATGATATCGTGATAAGCAACATATATGTTTTGATCGAGTATAGAGGAGTTCGAATGCTTCTAAAGTAGCTAATTTTTTGTGACGATGTTAGGCAGATTTAATTTACAGGTTTCTCGAGTACACTATTAAGTTGGGCAGAATGACTTAACCATCAATTGAAAGAAACTGTGAGCTCTAATTGCTTCAATAATACTTAGTAGCATGGATGCACATTACGTAAACAAAAACTTAGTAATGCTGGCAAATTCCAATAGGGGTATCATCACTATATTTTAACAACTATGCTAAGTTTCCAACAGTTCAGCGCCTCATTGAATTGCATATCTTCGAGACAAGTGAACATATAAGTGCATTAATATGGGAGAAAAAGAGATAAAGAGACTAAAATCAATATTAGCAGAACTAACCTCCTCATTCAACCAATGCATACGAGGAACAAATCCGACCATTGTAAGAGGAGCAGTTTGCCAAACAGCAAATGCGAATTCCAGAGTTCGACATGGAACAATAACACCATCGTCCACCGAGAATATAGCATCAGTTCTAAGATCCGTAATGGGCTTGAATCTGTTGTTCAGGTCTTCTTCCTTGTTCAGGTCAAATCGCAAGTTGGGCTTGTTAGCTGTTTGCGACTTCTTTAGTATCACTTTCTTCAGATAATCTCGTAGCTTGTAAGAAGGTGGATCGTTTTCACTCCAAACGACATGAATCGCATCAGTCCCTTGACACGATGCATAGTGTGCAACAGACTGTTTAAGTAATGTATTTCTCTTCCAAGTATTGATAAGAACAGTGTATCCACCCCTGGAAAAAAAAACAGAAAAAACATCAATCAAAGTTGATTTTTCATTCTAGAATAATTACTGCTGCTCGTAATTACATAATCCCATGATCACAAACCCTTAATTTTGTTTAATTAAACACAAACCTAGCTTAGTTTCTCTCTTAGCCAACACACTATTCCAATCAAACAAAAAATTGCATGACATTTGCCAAATGAAGTGAAATTTCAATAAATAAATATTTAACTTGATAAAAATTCAACACAATCAGAACAAATAAATCAATACAAAACCCTAAAATAATGAGAAAAAAATAAGATCAATAACTAATTAAACCTAACCAATCAGCATTTAACAGAGAAAAAAGCTAACCTAGAAGGAGAAGAGACGGAAGACGGATAGTGAGGGTTCCATCCCATAAATGAGGAGATCTTTGAGCTGAGCAAACTGAAGAAAGTGAAGATGCAGAAGAGGACGAGGAGCTTGTACTTGGCGCCGCTTAAGAACAGCTGGAAGCGGCGGAGCAGAGGCGATCGACCGCCGTAGACGCCGCGATTCGACCCTTTCACCTTGGCGGGAGAGTATTCACCGCCGTTGCCGCTCAGGGAGGCCTCTCGGATTGCAATGAGCGTCGACATCTTCAGGCGTCCGTTCAATTGACGGCCCCGATTCGATCTAACAATTATTCAAGCCGGCCTATTTTTTTATTTAATCTTTTCAAATATTTTCTAAAAATATACTTTTTATTTAGTTTTTCAGAAGATGACCCTGAAAATAAAATTCGATTATTTTTGTTATTTAAACAACGGTCAGAAGTTTGACCAAATAGAATCTAGAATCTTTTTAACATAATAAATATTCGATGTATGGAAAATAGCAAGAAAAGGAGAATTTTCATTGAATTGAAAGCGGGGAAAAAGAAACAAACATTGGGATCGATCTAACAATAATAATCTCCTTATTATGTGGGCCACGTAATCTTATTATAACGGCGTTAGCCACGTAATCACAACGGGGCTTCTCACTCTGTGGACCCCACCATCTTTCCATATAATGGAACCAAACTCCGGCGCCGTTTGTCGAGATCTCGCCGTGAAAGTAATCTTGTAAGTTATCTTCTTCACTTTAGCGGTGAAATCCAGTCTCGCCGGCTCAACCTTCACAAACGCCCCTCTGAACGGCGAAATCGCCACGTGGTAACTCGAAACGGTGGGGCCCACGTTGGTCACCGTTCTGTGGAGTGTCAGAACCATACTGGTGGTGCTTGCGTTCTCCGGCAGAACTGCTGAGATTGCAGGGTAGTTCAAGTCGCCGGAAGTTGCGAGAGAATGGCGGCAAGTTCTGTTGGAGAATTTCGAGAAAACTGCCAGCTCCGATGATGTAAGCCCTTGAGCACAGAGAAAATCGTAGTAATCCTGTGCACCGATGTCGTAGACCAAACCAGGGTCGAGAGCTTTGATCGGGTATATATGGCCGGCGCCGTGGTCGTAAGGCGTCGACGGTGTAGCTGCGGAGGCATCTTTCAGTGGGTTATGGGTGTTATCATGGACGTAAGCTGTGGTCATCAGTGCAGATTTAATGGCGGCTGGACTCCAATCTGGATGCTTGGATTTTATCAAGGCGGCTATGCCGCTCACATGGGGGCAAGACATTGAAGTTCCGGAGAGTATGTTGAACTTTGTTCGGCGGAGATCTGTCGGTAAACTCGACGGTCCCAATTCACCGGTCCAGGCGGCGAGAATGTTGACCCCCGGTGCGACCATGTCGGGTTTTAATATCTCCAGGGAGAGGATATTTGGTCCTCTGGAGGAAAAAGCCGCCACCACCGGCGACGGCCGGATACCTAATTTGGTACCGAGGTACGCTAGGGTTGCGGTGGGGTTTCTGTTTGCTGCGGCGTAGTGCTTGATGCTGTTCCCCTTTGATTCGCCGACGGCCACCGCCGGAAGAAGATGACAGTCTGCGACGAGCTCCTCCCCGTTGGAGGCGGTGTTGGAAAGAATCATGCCGATTCCGCCGGCGTCTTTCACCACTTGCCCCTTCTGGACGCGGGGGCTGATTCCCCTGTCGCAGATCACGATCTTTCCGGCGACGGAGCGTTTGTCGAGAGTTCCTTCCAAGCACATTGAGCTTGGTGTTAGGTTGCTCGAGTTACTCCCGTGGTAGATTAATGGATACTGCTTGTTTACAAGCAAGTTTCTCTGACCTCTGTAGAGTGAAGCGCCGGTGAGAATCTCCCCTGTTCCGAGCTTAACCGTCGCCGGAAAATCTCTGTCCATAGTACTAGCTCCGACAGTAGTCACCCACGGCGAAACATTTGTTAAACTAATCGGATCGGGGCCACCATTTCCAGCTGAACAAGAAATAAACACTCCCTTTTCCATGGCGCCAAAAGCGCCAATCGACAAACTATCCCGATAGTAAGACGAAACTCCGCCGCCTAAGGAGATCGACAAAACATTCACCCCGTCGGCAACCGCCCGATCAACGGCGGAGAGAATGTCCGAGCTGAAGCACCCACTTTTCCAGCAAACTTTATAAGCAGCAACCCTCGCTCCGGGTGCCATTCCCCGTGCAGTACCGTAAGCATATCCCAACAGATTCGCGCCACGAACCGGAACTCCGGCAACCGTCGCCGCCGTGTGGGTGCCGTGGCCGTCCTCATCCCGGGGCGATTTGTACTCATCCTGCTCGTTGATTTTCCCCGACGCCGCCTCGTAGCCGCGGTAGAACACACGAGCGCCGACAATCTTTCTGCTGCAGTGGCTTTTAGCGAACCCCCGACCCGTTTCGCACGTGCCCTTCCAGTGGGCCGGAATTCGGGTCATTCCGGTGTCGTTGAAGCTCGGGCTCTCCGGCCATATTCCGGTGTCCAGAACTCCGACAACGACGTCATAATCGGAGAGTTTGTCGGAAAAAGCGCTCGTGCTGTCTTCACGGTCGAGCCCGAGAAACATGGGACTCCTGGTGGTGTGCAGTTGGTATACAGTTTCCGGGAAAACCGCCGTCACCCCGTTTTGCCCTTGCAGTTTCTCAACTTCATCCCCGTTTAAACGGGCGGCAACGCCGTGAAATGCGGTCTCGTAACTGTAAATTATCCTGTCGTCATCGTTTTCATATTCTCCCGTTTTTTCGTCGTATTCGTCAGTTTTTGTTGTAACCGATTTAATCAGTGACGAATACCACTGTTTGTGGTCGCTGAATTCTTCAGGCTTTGCCAACTTATCCATATATATTATGTACGTATTCTTTGATGAAGGGCTTTTGTCGGTGGCTGTAACAATGGTGGTGGTGGTGAAAAGAGAGAAAACAAGAAGCCATTTGACGACTGGTATAATTACAATTCCTGCCATTTTCTGATGCTGGCAAGAAAATTGTAGAGAGAGAAAAGAGATGAACACTTAGCTTGTTGTACAGAATTGAAGTGAAAGTGTGTTGTGTTGTTGAGGATGTAATAAAGATGGTGGTTGCTGCTTCATGAATGCTTATGCTCTGTTTCGATTTTGAATTAGGTTAAATATTTATTTATTAAATTATTATTTTATGTTCCATTATGCTTTGTTGCTATCTCAGTGACACACAATGCCACTTCGCCATTTAATTTAATTTCTTTATTTAAAATAAATAAAAGTTATTAAAGGCAATCCGTAGTTTAGTGCAATTGTCTAACAATAAGCCTGAAATTTGGCCTTTTGTTTTACAATGGGTGGTATCTTTTTTCCATTAGAAACTATTGAACTCATATTTATAATTTATTTATCAAAAATAAAAATTATAAGTGGTGGAAATAATAATAATAATAGTGAGGGTGGATGAGCGGTTAGGATTAATGAGATGGGTCGCCATTGTGAAGCCATAACGAATTCCACGAGCAAAATCAGACCTAGATTTATTTATCATTCCACATCATAAATCTCAATAAATTTCTTGAGGGGGGGTCTCATGTTTTTTTTATGTGGTCCCTTTTTTGTAATTTTCACGAGATGCCTGCTATAAAAAAAAATATAGATAATTTAGTAAGTGGCCATCTATTATATTTATCATTTAGGTTTGATAATTGGTGTTAATATACAAGGACGGAGTCAAAAAAATTTTGCAACTATTATTACATATACTAATTTTCATAATGTTTGGAGAAAGTTGAAAGCATTACTGTTGATGGAGTATATATATGCAAATTTCTTTTGCTTTCACTCATCACTCATGACCAATAAACTTATAAAGAAAAGAAAACTAATTAAATAAATCACTAGTTTAATTAACTAATTAACCTCTTATTATTATTATTAGACGCCAATGAATGAATCGTTTAATGGCTTATTTCACATACCACTAAATACTAATTATGGCTCACTTTTTTCACACCGTGGATGAGTGATTATGGAAGCTGTATCAGAGACATACTTAAGGTTCGGATTTTGATTTTTTTGAAGCTCTAAATTTATAATTAAATTTATTAAAATTTAAAATTGGAAATCTAATAATGTAGAGAGAATGCAACCTAAGCTATCAGAAGTTAAAACAATACGGAAACATAGGTACAATTTGTGTGCCCAGTTTTAGATAGCTTATAGCTACCAGCCTGTCACAAAACAACCATAGTAAAACTCACACAGTCACACCAATTATTGCATTTTGTCCTCCATCAAGATTATGGCTATGGTAATTATTTCAATTTAATTTATATAAACCTTTTTATTTTTTCAATTTAATTTATGGAATTGGACCCAATTGGCTCTTTAATACACGTATGGGCCATTATTAAGCCCATCTCATACCACCTGACTAGAATTTTGGAAAAAAATCAAATATGACCATATGCAGATCAAGAATTCAAAGATTGAGAATTGGTAGTAATAAATTCTTTTATAATTAATTAGTAAAAAAAAATAGGCTGCGGCTATATGCAAGACTAATTCCACTTGTGCAAGACCAAATTAAAATTTTCAATGTATAAATACTATAATACCCTTATTTATTAAAAAAATAAAAAATTCCAAATATGCAAGACCAAAAATTCAAAAACACAAAAAACCCTATCACAAGACCACAAAACCACAAGACCAACTATCATCTTCTCCATCTTCCAAAACTCACAAGACCTTTCTCCTTCCTCCTCCATTAACCCACAAAACCTAGAAATTCAAAATCATCAAAACTCAACAAATCTTACAAAGATGGCAAGTATGGAGTCAGAAGACATCAAAATAGAAGATTCTACGATGGAAGAACCCAAGAATGTATGCATTTATGGGTTTTTTTAGCTAGAATATCGATTTTCCAAAAAAAATCCCGTGCAAACGAATTCGACATGTACAGGTCGAATTTTACAGGTAAAAATCGACATCTAGATGTCGATTTTGAGGTATAAAATTCGACATTTGAATTTGTGCTACAAATTCGACATGTCAATGTCGATTTTTACCTATGAAATTCGACGCTTAAGTGTCGAACCGTAGCATAGTTTTTCGACACCTTGGTGTCGAATTGTAGCATAGTTTTTCTACACCTTGGTGTCGAATTTTTTTTTTTCACATTATTTGTATTTGGTCTTACATGAGAAAAAAAAGCCATTTTAATTTATGGGCATACTTGTCATTCCATCTTAATAAAATAGAATCTTTTGGAATCTTTCTTTAATTTGGTCTTGCACAAGTGGAGTGAGTATTGCATATAGCCGCAGCCAAAAAAATATTCAAAGTTGAAAAGTGAAATACTAGAATTAATTAGAGCAGCTGCATACTGAACAACTTTCCCCCTCTCATCACTATTTATGTCTGAACAATAATAAATATATTGTTTGATGTAGGGTCCGAAGTTGTTCAACTCATAATAAATGGCTGCCACTATTGGGAATGGGCGTCCTGTTTTCTTTAACATAGCAAAACCGCCTTCTACCTCCCCGGAATTTCGTGCACCTGTCATTATTATCTACTAGGCAAAAAATTCATTTCTATTAGGAGTATCACATTATACTTTATAAATACTTTTTGGTTTTTTTTTTTTTTTTTTTAATGAATTGTAATAGAAGACAGCTCGATCGGACTGCCCGGACCGAATCGGTCTGCTAGGCAGGGGTTCGCCAGCCTGGCTCACCTAGTCAGTGGACCGATTCGTTTGACTCGTCTTGCTTCGTCTCATCTCTTGATTTTCTCTCCAACAATTCCGTACATGCATGCTAGTCTATTTCTATCTATTTAAAATTAATCTAAAAAATCACAATAAAGGAGATCTTTTTTGGCTACCACGGACGCACGAAAAACAATCACTCAGCATTATGATCCATACAAAAGTACAATAAAAATATGCATAACCATAATAGCAGATTTTCTATTCTAAAAAAAAAGTTCAAAAAAATGGCTTCAAGCAATATAAAATTTTCCGTTTCATGCAATTTGGAGCACGAGCGGGTCCTCTCACTTCAAAGTCAACCATGCATAATTAACAAAAAAATGATTTTATTTTATTTTTTCTTGTCAATTTAACAATATCATTAAAAAAGAGAAATAATAATAAAGTTATGAATTCATATATATGACGAGAAATCTGACAATCGAGAAAATAAAATCCAACCAAAATAAAACGAGGATGATAAATTATTTATCAACACGACCCAAAACAACAGGGTAGCTATCAATACAATCAGCCCACACCCCATTTTGGGCCTCCCCACAAATGGGCCTAAGACACTCCCAAACCAAACTATTACACTTGGGCCCACTTCCCATACCCAGCTGCCATACTTTGTCACCTTTCTTAACCCTATCTTTGGCTTCCATGTAACCAAGCTCATACCACAGCGACGATGAAGATTGGTTCCCAAATCTGTGCAGCGTCATCATTGCCGGCTCCATATCCCTCTCCCCTAGCTTTAGCCCTTTTCCGATCTCCCGAATCACCGGCTTTCCGGACGCCGGCAGGCAGAAGTGCTGCACCGCTCTCTTGAAATTCGGCACGTAGATTTCCGACGACTTGTCGAAGTACTTCTTCTTCGTTATTGAGATAGCGTACAGTATCATCTCGGTGTAGGGAAGGATTTTCGTCCCGAGTATTGTGATGTTCGATCGGAGGGTTTCTCCGGCCACCTGCAAAAATTTAGGTATTGTTATATTCATGCATGCTATGTGTTTGTTATATTGTCGCAAAGAGTTTTTTTGGAATAACCTGCAATAAATCCCTCCTGAGTGTGACGCCGGTGAATCCATCGGAATCTTCTTCTCTAAAGGCCGAGTAATAGCCCTTGTCGTCGAAAGCTCTTTGGGTTCTCAAAGTATGGAGCAGCTTGTACTTGGCTGTTTTCTTGGCTTCCTTTTTGTTGGTGACAAGAATTGCCGCAGCTCCCATTCGGAAAATGCAGTTGAGCACCAGCATGGTTTGCTGCTTCCCTGGATACCACCCCGTCGAAAGAATTTCGGTGCTGAGAATTACAGCATTCGAATTCTTGTGCGTTTTGAGTATGTTGTGAGCCATGTCAATGGCTAGTGCGCTAGCACTGCACCCCATACCACTTATGTTGAAGCTTTTCACGTCGTCTCTCATGGAGTATTTGTTGACTATAATGGAAGAAAGAGAAGGGGCGGGGCAGAAGCCGCTGCAGTTGACTATAAGAACGTCTATTTCCGTCGGAGATATCTTGGTTTTCGATAGGAGGTCTTCGAATACAGGGAAGAGGGCCATGTGGACTTCGTTGATGGCTTCTCTGTGGCTTGATTTCGGTGGGATGATGTGTATGCATGGTGGTAGATACGTCTGCTCGCCTTGCCCTGAATGCGTGAGGACTTTCGCCATGAAATCCACGCTTTCTTTGTCGAGAAAATCGAGCATCTGTGCATGTTCGATGTAGGTCGAAAATGGGACCCTACAGAAATTTGGAGGCTTGAGGCATGAAAAGTCCACTAGATATAAAGCGGACGACGGGCTTGAAAAAATGTAGCGTTTCGCAATGGCGAGAAGAAGAAAAGACGAAGCGGAGAGAAAATGGTAGGTGGGGTCGATTTTCGCTAGGATGAAGAAAGCTTGTAAGGAGAAGAAGGCTAGAAGAATCGACAAATCGATGAATTGCGTAAAGAAGGAAGAGAAACGGGTTAACAGAAGCTTGTCGGCAATGGCTAAGTTGCTGGTTTCGTCCATGCTTGCAACAATTAAGGTATGTGGATACTTGTCAATTTTTTTCCATGTTAGGGACTTAGGTATTTAAAGGTGCACAAAATGGGTTGTTTATGCAATAATTTAATCGAGTTTTTACATGCAACTTGCTGGTTTATTTCATGTCATAAATGTATTTGGTACTTATGGATATATACATATAGTAAACTATATATATATATATACTAGTGAGGTGGGGTTGATTATTGTTGAGGATTTTGCAGTTGGAGGGTGTTAAATGTTGATAATCCTCCATAAATTAAATTAAAATCTATCTTGAGTTGTCATTCTCAACAAGTTGACTACACATTTTCCAAGTCAAAGGCAGTACACAGATCCTTATAGAACACTAGTTAAAGGCAGTCAACATTGAAATTCTGCAAGATTGTTACAATAAGGTTTGGCCAAATATTATTTACATATAAATTGAGTTGTGCATAGGCATCGTGAAAGAGCATTTTGTCAGATTTTGTGTGCATTTTCCACAGCTTCTAAATCCCACTTTTAAATATATATTATTTTCCTGACCTAGTATTTAATGCTTCTATCCGGGCATCCATCACTCTGAAATCTGAATGTCAAACTACAATTTATTTGGTATAGACAAAGAAACAATCAATTAGTAAGGTCCCATTTTGTTGCCAAGATAAGTCATGATTAACTAAATAGTTGGACTGAATTTGATGTTTGGTATCCCCAATAAATTGTCGGGTCGACCCGAAAATTATATAATCATGTCTTATCTTGGCTTATCTTGACTTCTAGCGAGTTTTTTTTTTGTTGGACGTTGCGAGCTCCAATAAAATAATTGAGTTTCATTTGATTATTTAATCTTATCTTGCCAACCAAACGGGGCCTAAGTGTATTATTTGTTTTTCCTAATAAAATTATTAAATTCAGGATGAAGATTATGAATTTGCAAACTAGACCCACCTGAAATGCCACTTGCCTTAGCTTGTTTTGTCCACTTGGTTCTCTTTTATTTAGTTTAGTCATTTTCTACATCTAATTACTTGTTGATAGGGTTTAGTTATATGCTATGTTCCTCGTTTTCGACATCTATTCGGAATAGCCCGTACTTGTTGTTTTTTTTTAGAAGGGTTAGTTCTATGCTACATACGGGTTGTAAATTTCATCGCGGGTTACGTATTTTACATACATACACGTGTATGTATGTGTGTGTTATTGAGTGAAAATATAGTGTAATTCACCTTGTGCAGCAGTATATGCTTGATAAATAGTTAGTACATTGAAATTTTGTGAACATTTATTGCACTTGGTTTAAGTTCGGTAGGTAGCTGGGAAAAGCATTTATAGAAAGATATACAGATTATGGTCGTGTCACGATTTATTGAACATGTTATGAATTTTAGATTTTTTTATTCTTTTTTCTCATAAGTCAAATTTTAGATTGTTATTCGCGTTCAATTCAATGTATTCTCAATTCTGAGTTATGCTTCAGAAAGGGAAAAAAAAAAAACAAGAATTAGAGAAAAAAAGCCAAAAAAGAATAGCCGGGTCTTTATGATGATATTCTTTTTCCCCAGTTTTTTTCTTTTTTTATTTTGGTTGTCGATCCAATTTTTATTTTTCGAAAAAATTGATTTTGATTTCCGATAAAAATCCACTTTTTTAGGAAAAAATTGAATTCCGACAGTTTCGGAAAAATCCGATAGTGAAATATGTTTTTTCTAATTTAATAATCCGACAACCTGAAAACAAATGGTGTATGTAGCTCTAGTTCAAAAGGCCAAATGTTATTTTTCCAGGAGTGTGAACGAAGTGAGTCGAGCCAAATGCACGTTTGTTCAGATTTATCTGAATCTTTATTCATCTATCGAAATTACATTTGATCTTAGTTCGATAAGAATCAAGTCAAGCTCGAACAACCTTTAGTTGAGGCGAACAGCAATTTAACTCGATTAGTTTGATTTTTATACATACTCGCTCGAACCAAGTTTCATAGCTTATTGAACCGAAATATGTGTTGTAGTTGGTTTGCTATGCTAGCTTTCAAGATTCGATTTCAAACCCATGTGTAATGGGCCATACATGATGAAGTAACGGGCCCAGCAAAAAAGCCCGTAGCCCATATAGATGATGAAAACGAGTCCAAGGCCAGCCCGTGATCCTGACTAACTGCGACACACATACATATATATATATAGCGACACTTGCTTGCTGTTACATTTGTAATAACTTGGGATATAATCAAACAAAAACTCCAATCACAATCTTGCCACCACTTTTTAGCATGCCTTTACCTAAAAAGAATCTCTCTTTCCACTTGGTCCCCATTTTTCACTAGTCCCCCACCAAAAATAAGTTCTTCTTTCTCATCACTAAAATCCCATTAAAAAGCTACAATTTGCATTTGTGATACTTGTGGCTAAAAACATGGCTGAAAAATCTTATAATTATTTGCATATTTTCACATTGCTTATGCTTCTTTCCCCATTAGCTAACTCATTGAAAAATCATGACCGGCTCAAGTTAGCAACTCCCCCGCCTCTCCCGATTCTCCCACTCCCATCATTCTCGCAACTCAAATGGCAACAAAGAGAGATCATAATGTTCCTCCATTTCGGGGTCAACACCTTCACGGATTCCGAATGGGGAACCGGGCTCGAAAGCCCGTCTGTTTTTTACCCGACGGGCCTCGACCCTACCCAGTGGGCCCACACTGCGGCCCGAGCCGGAATCTCGTTGATGATTCTCACGGCCAAGCACCATGATGGCTTCTGCTTGTGGCCTTCGAAATATACGGATCATTCGGTGGTTAGAAGCCCTTGGAATAATGGGAATGGAGATGTGGTTCGAGAGTTTGTTGATGCGGCTAAGGCACATGGAATCGATGCGGGCTTGTATCTATCGCCGTGGGACCGACACGACACTAGATATGGACATGTTGAGCTCTATAATGAGTACTACTTGGCTCAATTGCAAGAACTCCTCACTAGGTATATTATAATCTCACTGTTTGATAATTTCAAGATCATTTGTATAGTAGATAAATTAATCCTAATTATCTAGTGGTGCATGTTATGAATGAGTTTATTACACTTGGTACCCCTATGTGTTAATTTTGAGATGAAATTAAATTACTTAAAGTTTAGAACTATTTGAAAGGAAATAACATTTAGTTTTTTCGGGTGGTAGATATGGAGGTGTTAGGGAGATATGGTTCGATGGAGCAAAAGGTGCAAATGCAACGAACATGACTTATTACTTCAATGATTGGTTTTCGATGGTGAAGGAATTACAGAGCACGATTAATATATTCTCCGATGCGGGACCCGATATCCGGTGGGTCGGAAATGAGAAAGGGTATGCCGGGAGCACGTGTTGGTCCACTATCAATGCCACATCTTTATCAATTGGCAATGCTACCATTCTTGAGTAAGTAGGCATAAACCCAATTATCTAAAGTTGTTGATTATAATTCAATAATTCCATAATAATTAGGGTAAATTACAACCACCTCCCTGAGGTATGGTCAATTTATGAAAAAATCCCTCGTGTTTGGATTATTACATCTACCCCCCTCAACTATGTTTTTTTCCTTACACATCCACCCTTATGGTGTCAAATTCAACATAATCATCAAGATTTCGTGGAATATACTCTAGTTTGTACTAGGTTTGTGTAAAAATACAATTTCTAATGCACCACAATATGATATATACAAGCCAAAAAACACATATTATGATCATATTGCTTCAAAATGTGAAGTTTGAATGGGATAAAACGGGTACAAAAGTGATAATATTCCATATAATATCGAAGATTCCACTAAATTTGAAACTGGATTTATAGTTGAGGGGTGGTTGTAATTACCCAAACATGAGGGGGTTTTCGTAATTTAACCATACTTCAGGGGTATGGTTGTAATTTACCCTAATAATTATTTAGAGGTTCTTCTTGATTTGTCACGTTTTTTTTTCCCGCTCTTTATTGTTGATGTAGGGGAAACGTTAAATTTTTAGTTTAGGTTGGACAAAATAACAAGCCTTGCCACATTTAATTTGTGACATATTTATTTTGTGATCTCAAAAATGGATTTATAATAATAATAATAATTTCAACTAAAATTAGTAATAATAATGGTGCATGCAGTTATCTCAACACCGGTGATCCCAAAGGGACAAATTGGCTGCCGGCGGAATGTGACGTGTCCATCAGACCAGGTTGGTTTTGGCATAAATCACAAGCACCAAAAAAGCTGAGTGAACTGCTTGAAATTTACTACAAATCCGTGGGGAGAAATTGCCTTCTACTACTAAATGTGCCACCAAACACCACCGGTTTAATATCCGAATCCGATGTACAAAGATTGAGCCAACTCAGACGAGCAATCGACACCATTTTCACCTCAAATTCGGCTGTAAAATGTTCGGTGGAAGCAAGTAGCCCAAGGGGGGGCGAAAATGGAAATTTCGGGCCTGAAAACGTGCTAGACGAAGACCATCTATGGACTTATTGGGCTCCAAGTGAAAACGAGAAAAAAGACTATTGGATCGAATTTAGAGCTAAAAGTAGTGGAATAAAATTCAATGTGATTAGGATCCAAGAAGCAATTGGGTTAGGGCAAAGGATCAAGAAACACGAGATTTACGTTGACGGGATTAGGGTTGCGAAAGGGAGCACGGTAGGGTACAAGAGGCTGCACAGGCTGAAAATGGGAGTGGTGCATGGAAATAGTGTGAGGATCAAGATTGTTAAAGCAAAGGGAATCCCTTTGATTTCTTCTGTAGGCTTTTATTTTGATCCCTTTTGGAAACCAAAGTAAAGGTTATTTATTGACTTGGTGGGTTTTGTGCATGTTTTCAGCCTATTTGTGGCTCATGATTTTCTTGTTTTGAGGAAGTTTGTTCAAAAGCCACCAGAAAATAAGCTATACTGTCTGAAAATTGCCATTATTCATGCATTCTGGTATAAACAAATCGTATATCACAACATATATGAACTTCAATTACCTGAATGTTGAACACGTTTTATGCATCTCAAATCTTAATATTATCACACACACACACACACACACACACTATTTACTCCATAGCTTGTTCGATTAAAAGTATTTTATAGTATACGTCAAATCCCCACAAGTTACCTTATGTTGTGTTTTCATGGCTTGATCCTGGAACTAGCACGAAGATGAAGGCCTCCATCGATTTGCAGCGTTAGCATGGTTCGGTAATTTACAGGTCTGTTTTCGTCAGCCAACCTAAATGAAAAGGCACTCAGCAAAACAGATGCAAAAACTTTCATCTGTCTGTAAGCAAACTCTTTTCCGAGACAGATTCTTGGCCCTGCCTGCATTTCATAATTATCATTTAGCTTTAAATAACGATTATCCAAGAACACGTATTTTTACCTTTGTTGATGTTTTACACATTATTACCTGAAAAGCAGTGAATTTAAACGGGCTTTCTTGCTGGAATATTCCATTTTCGTCGAGCCATCTCTCGGGCCGATATTCCTCTGCATCTTCACCCCATAAAGATTTCATCCTTCCCATAGAGTAAGGTACATACGAAACCAAATGCCCTTTCTTGATACTGAATCCATCTGGGAAAGTATCATCAGAAAAACACATCTTCCCATCCTGGTACAAACAAGAAATACTTAATATAAAATTCGAGAAACTTGTTTGATGTTCTAGAAAGTTATATAAGAGTGTGGTTGTTATGTGTATCGTTACCGCTGGAAGTGCAGGGTATAGTCTGAGAGTTTCGCTCAGAGCAGCATGGAGAAACTGCATTTTATCTAATGCCTTTTCAGTAATACTATTTGCTATCTCGTCAATGCTCGAATTTTCGCTAAGATTTGCAGCCTCCGTCACTTCTCTTACAACCTTTTCTTGTATGAGAGGGTGTTTGCACATCATGTACAGAAACCACGAAAGAGTGCTAGCTGTTGTGTCTTTCCCAGCAATTATAAAACTTAGTATTATATCCTTGAGGTACTTGGGATCCGTTTCATTCATTTCAAGAAACCTCGACAGAATATCTCCTTTACTCCCCTATCATTTACAAAAATTCAATATCCCAATGTCATTATTACACGACACACCAACACATGGAAAAGATTTGGTTAAACTCATTGGTTACCTCTTGACTGGGTTTGCTTATTTGTTCGATCTTGTTTTGGATAACCTCGTAAACAAATCCATCTACTACTTTCATACACTTCTTCAATGTAGCTTCCGATCCAATGTTAAAGTACTTTTTTATCGGCCAGGATATATCAACATATCGGTAACACGTCATCTCACTTGCTTCATCAAAAGCCTTGGAAAATTGGGTGCCTTCGCTAGTTCCACGCATGGTGTCTAGATCAACACCAAGCACGACCTTGAAAACAGAGTCCAATGCAGATTTCATGAACAAATCCTGCATATTTGATGAAACAGATTAGTTGGTTCTGCATTTTCTTCTCCACAAACAAAAGAAAGACATAGATACAGTTTGTTGGTTAAGTGTATATATTACTTGAATTTCGATTGGCTGATCCGAGGCCGCAGCTGAAGAAACTATATGAGCAAGTTTAGCTGCATTGGCCTTGAAGACACCACTGCTAAAATCCCTGAGGTTTCGAGTCGAGAACTCATAGCTCGACATCTTTCTTTGATGCCGCCACCTTTCTCCGTCAACCGTAAAGATTCCATCCCCTAAAAGACCTTCCAAGATGTCATGGTGGAAAGACCCCTGCATAGTTCCATTTTATTCACATTAAAATCTCTCAGAGACCATTCAACAAACAGTTGGCGAAAATTGGCCATCATGTTACTTTTCAACCAAAACAAAAATCCAAACAAACCCTTCTCTGCTTCTCATTCATTTCATCAAACACTTAACGAGCATTTTAATAACCTTATATATGGTAACTGAAACATCCTCAAGATAAATCATTATCTAAATCTCAAGCAGGCAAAACAACCAAGAGTGGAGGGAGAAAAAGTATGTATACCTTGCCAAAATTTGCGAAATTAGTTTTGAGGAAGTACTCGACGATGACAGGATCGGAAGTGTAGATTTCGGTGGTGTCGAGATAAATAATTCTGAAAGTGGTGTTTTTGCGAGTGAGATCGGTGAGGTAGTCGTACATCTGCCGGAAATTAAGAAGCAGATGAAATATAGTGCCGCCGTAAGGATGGTACTTCTTCTTCTTCGTCTTCTTCTTTGCTGATAATCGCACCACAACCCCAATTACGCATACTGCTAGAACTGCAATTAGGGCTGAAAATAGCATGGTGTTGTCACCCAGACTCAGAGCATCCATATTCATGGCAATCTTCGTGGTGGCCGTGTACCTGAAACAATTCTTAGTAGCTCCATTTATAGAGAAGCATCAAGCAACGACTACTGTGTGTTAAAAAATTCATGAAACTGTTGACTCGCAAAAGTCTCCTCATACTGTTTCTTTTAACTTCTGGAATGATACAAAGAGCAGTTGGGCAAAATTGGTCATCACTGATATTTTAAGAAAGTGGTGCATTAATTTCGAATTTCGGAATTAAATATTTATTCAAAACCAATATATATATTTTTTAATCTAAATTGAAAATTTCGTTCGAATTTCTATATAGTCTCTAGAATATAAAAATAGAGGGTAAGTGGTGGGGGCACAAAAGTCAGCGATCATCTTTGCGACTTGTAAGTCGAACTGGGCCCCACATGTTTTTTGTGGGGTTTATAAATATTAAATATCATCCATATGGGTTTTATTTTGTTTTTAGTTGCTTTCAAAACCGACGCACTCAGTAAAGAAATAAATGGAAAAAATAAGATGGACGTGGGATTTTGGTGTGCTAAATAAAATTTAAAAAAAAAAAAAAATTGTTCAGCAAATTGAATGAATGAGCCTTTTCTTGTATGACTAGGAAAATTGTTGCATGTATACACTCAAGACAGAAGGATAACCTATTTATTCTTTCTGGCTTTTTTAATAAAAAAAAAAAAAAAAAAAATCTTCGTCTTCGCCAAAATTTCGATGCCTCGGGCATGCTATTATTACTTGCATAATAATGTTTTCTCACCATTTTCCATGGTTATTTCCACGACCTCTTCCACCACCACCACCACCACCACCGCGGCCTTTAGAGAATGGACGATCGGAATATCCACCTCTCCCACCGGAGAATCTACCGTCTTTCCTCTCCGAGAAGCCTCCACCTCCGAATCTCCCCGCTCTTTCTTGCAAACGTGGCAACGATTTCAACACTTCTAACTTTACACCACCACCAGCATTTTTCTGACCTGCAACCCCTCCATGTAACTAAGTTATGAATAAAACACCTATAAATGTTGAAGGTTTAAGATTACGAAAAAGAAAGGGAAAAAAAACCAACCAGCAATGAATATATCCAGATCTTCAGAAGCCACGTCAAAAACTGCACCCTTACCATCAGCGGTCAAAGCAAGACCCTTTACTGATTCGACCTTCTCTTCAGGCAAAAATCTCCGTAAAACCCCATAAGCAAAACTGGCATGCCATGGTATTTGTAAAGAAGCAATTTTTAATTTGTTCTCCAAATAATAAAATCATCATTATTTCTAAATGAAACCATAGCTAAAACAACGAGTTTGGAGAACTCACGATGCTGTGTAAATGGGGCGCCCACACTCAACAAGGACAGTAACAAAGTTCTCCATTGAAGTGAGAAGCGAACGCCTCTTGATCTCCGTATAACCCTGCAATAAAAAAGCGGGCCCCGCGTCCGAATTTCCAAATTAACTTGTGTTTCAGACACAACAAATAAAGGAAGTTACAACTTACAGCAGCATTGGCTAATGCCTTAGCAAGTAGTTCGATTGGGGATAGAGCAGACGAGTTCAGTAGCTCTTCAGCAGCAGCCATAAATACCGGTATTACACTATAAAGTGTTTGGAAGTATAATATCAGTAAAAAAAATTCTAAAAGATTCCCTCAAAAAATATTCACAATAAAAATGTACCTATCAGATATCCCAATAATTTTCTCAGCAGCTTCTGCACCAGCAACTTTAGCAATCTCAGCTGGCTGTGGAGCTGATATATGTTCGAATTTCACCCCCGACTCTCTTTCTATTTTGGAAAAATTTGACTTCCTTGGATCGTAGAGCATCACAGCAATCCCAGATTTTCCTTGAGAAGAAACAGAGAACACTTTCTTTATCGAACAATTTTCAATAGTTTTTTTTAAAGTTCAAATGCAGAGGTTAATATTGATAATTCACCTGCTCTCCCTGTTCTTCCAGACCGATGAATGTATGCCTCTACATCACGTGGTGGCTCATACTGGAGCACAACAAATACATTTATTACAAGTGTCAATACAGGAAGCTATGTGATCATCCCTAACAAAAATAGTATGAGGAAAACAAAAAAACCTGAATGATCAACTGGACATCATCAATATCCAATCCCCGCGCAGCCACATTTGTAGCCACGAGCGTAGAAAATTTCCCAGATCTGAATCCAGAAAGTGTGACCTGTAAATATCAGAGCAGAAGCAGTATAATATATTAGGACATAAGAGTGACACTTTCAAGATTTATACGACTGCAATCGTAGTACCACAATTTCTAGTGATGTAGCAAAAAAATTACCATTCGACCTAAAAGCAAGATTTTTGCAGATATAGTAACATCTAATAACTAGTAAAGATTTACCCCACAGTAAAAGAATATACCTCACGTGTAGCCTGTTGTATGTCCCCATGCAAAGCACGTGCTCCAGGTAGTAATCCAGCCAGCGTAGAAGCAGAATCTTTTGTCTCCGTAAAAATAATTGTGCGGCCCCCACTGAAACAGGACAAGATAGAACGAGAAAATTTAGGATTATCCAAATTTCATAATTAATGATTGACTAGTGTGATTAGAAGCTAACCAACCTACTATAGCAGCGAATGATATCAGGAATAAGTTGGGATCTGGCAGAACTAGAGCAAGGAAGAACAATATGCCTCACACTGGTGCTAGCCTTCATTTTCTCATTCCCGACCAGATCAGCAGTTTTCTTATCACGTTTTAGAAATTTAGCTGCAATCTGGCATTAATAAATCCTTGTCATGCTCCAAAAAATAATAAAATACAAAGAAAAAGATGTAGTCAAACTACAAGATTTACAATCAAGAACTCCAAGTACAGTAAACGATGTTATATTTCACATACATGTTTCACCCAGTCCGGCAAAGTGGCACTGAAAAGAAGTGTTTGGACTTGGCTTGCATCCTCTACCTTACCTTCAAAACAACCAAAAAACAAAAAATTAAAGAACAGCAAAGCAAAAGACTAACATAATAGAAATTTGAGAACAAACCTAGGATTAGTTCAACATCTTCAACGAAACCCATCCTCAGCATTTCATCGGACTCGTCAAGTACTCTAAATTTCAATGCAGTAAAATCTATATTTCCCCTCTCTATGTGATCCTGCACCATATGAATGCATACAGAAAGAACCCACAGTAGTTAAAACATGCGGTTTTACGCAATTGTATATCGCGTACAACTCGTAATAAAGCATACCTTAATGCGACCAGGCGTGCCAATTACTATGTCAACGCCTCTTTTCAATTGAATCTGTTGTGGCTGGTAGGGAGAACCCCCATACAGACAACAAGATTTCAACCCTAATGCTCCACCATACATCTCAAAGTCAGAACAAACCTATGATCATATGAAAAAAGTAACAAGGGGACAGACGAAAAAAAAATTAAGGGAACGAATTTTTTTTACAGAAAATAAGGAGATATCGACATTTAACGGATGCAATAAATACCTGTGTGGCCAGTTCTCTAGTTGGTAAAAGAACCAGAACACTTGGTGCCCTTCCATATCCAGTCTTTCTCGATGTTTTCGTGGGCCCATTTATCAATGATTCGAGTATGGGCAACACAAATGCCAATGTTTTACCCTGATATAGAGTCACAAACCAGGGTACGTAAATTAAAATTACGACACTAATGGGCTAAGACGATAAAATTAAGGACAAGATAAATCGATGAATCCAAACGCTGCATTTCTGCATTCAAATGGAACTATTCTCCTAACATAACAATAATCTGAGGGATCTCAAATTGAAATCACTCAAATCGGCCAATAAACACACATTAAACAGTAATTACAAAACAAACACACACAGCTAATTAACAACAAGCACGAATCAGAAAACCTTAAAAAGAAAATAAAAAATGTATAACAAATATCAAAAACCCCAAATACAAAGATGAGAGAATTGCCCTAACCTGACCAGTGCGCGCCCTACCAACCAAATCAGAGCCATGGAGAATCGTGTCAAACGTCGTGGCCTGAATTGGAAACAGAGACTCGATCCCTTTCTCCTTCAACGCTTCCCTCAACGGCTTCGAAATCCGGAAATTCGAGACGGCGTTAGGGGTTTCGTCCTCCTCTCTCTCATCAAATTGCATCTTCTTTTTCTTCTTATTACTGGAATTCATGAGCTCGCCCATCTCCGAACTAGTCTCGTTCCCTTCATCAGCATTATCACAGCTGTTGATCCACAAAGCCTTTGGCTTCGAATCTTCACTCTATTTCTGTGGAGGACACCTGTAATTAGAATCGGAGGTTAGTTTGGTCTTTTTGTTGTACTTGCTCTCCTTTTCTCTTGATCTTTTCAGAGTCATCCTCAATTTTCGGAGCTTCATCCTCCTCCTCCTTATTCTTCATTTCTTCCATTAATTCACTCTTTCTCACACATATATATACATTCACTCATATATACAAGTATATATTTTCCTGTGCTGCTAATGGTGTGGCAGCGAAGTTCAAATACAGTTAGCAGCAGAGAGTGACGAGGGAGGGAAGTTTCAGATTTTGCGAGTTTGCATGCTATGGCGGTGGGAGATTTGGAGCCGTTGGATGAGAATTCGTTTATTGGGCTGAATAAGATATTAAAATCGGGCCGTAATTGGGCCGAAATCGTTTCCGAAGATGCTTTGGTGATACATCGGCCCGACCCATTCGACTACACATACCAGTGTAACAAATTTCGGGCCGCAATTGGGCCGAAATCGTTTCCGAAGATGCTTTGGTAATGCATTGGGCCCGACCCATTCGTCTATACATACCAATATAACAATTTTGTGCAAAGAGAAAATAAAGTAGTATAAAATTTAGAAAATAAATCAACGAAGGCATTGGCACTAATTATTGTTTAATTATTAATGCTCATTTCGCACTACTAAAATGAGTTCAAATTTTAGCTAAACTAAACTACATCTTAGAGTAATATCAAATAGGATTAATATTAAATTATTACACATAAAAATAGCAAAGTATACAAGACTTAAAAGCCACATCCAAATTCCGAGTCACTACACAAATTTAAGGGCCACTCCTTTTACCACTTTTTTCGGACATTGGCAGCTTTTTGTCTATTAATTGACATGATAATAGGGACCATTTCTCAAATAAGGTAAAGGCCCTTACGGGAGTTAGATGCTACATCGGGTCATATAGCTCGAGCGAGTGTTAAACCACCAACTAAGCACACATATATTTGAATGCGTATAATTATGTTCAGATCTACGATAAATATCCACTCAATATATGTAACTCGTGTAGAGCCCATGAACGAGGTATAATAATTTATTTTTCCATTTTTCCTTCTCAAAAAAGCACAAAATAGCCATTCTTTTTCTTTTTTTTGTCACTATCCCTCACATTTTCTTTCCTACTTCCTTGGGTGGGGTGCCATATGGATAAAATAGGCGTATCGTTATTCACACCCCTAAAAAAGTTTATAAAAATATAGGCACGAGTGGATTTCATGTGGTGTAAAAAAAAAAAAGTAAAAAATACTTATTGAGATTATATAATTAGATTAATGAATATTTGGTATAAAAATATAATTAATAATTATATGGTCACAACACAAATGCTTGCAGATTGCATATGCGGTTGCACCCTCGTATGGGGCATCATTAAAAGCATGGCATTACTCGCAGCCCACATGAAAATGATATATCAAAGAAAAGGGACCCCAACTCAGTGAGTCACCCACTAACATTTACAAAAAGGCCAATAGTAACACGAAAAACATGACATTACTAAATTGATATACAAATATATTATTATTTATAATTGCAAAACACTACAAACAAATTAAATTTATTCCAAACTATGAATAGTAAGTATCATTGTATACTACTAGTACAAAACATGACTTCAAAATTAAATACAAAATATTACATGTATTCACAATCATTTGGTTGCCTCTAGTATAGAGTAACGTATATTTTTAGTAGTAAAAAAATATAATAAATAAATACTGAAATTTTATTTATTTCCATTTATACCCTCCATCTTGCTCCTTAAATCTCCTCAGCAAAGCATCCATGGCGATGTCAAAAGCGTCATCTATTCCTTGAGTGGAATTTGCGTAAATAATCTTTGGTATATATTCAATCACTTTTTCCCTCATTCTTTTCACCTTCTCTTTACTAATCGTGTCCAGCACGCGCTTTATTGAGGTCCCGTTTTTCACATCTTTCTGGTCTATGAAAACCGAGTAACTTTCCGGTTCGCTCGGCAAGAACGACTCGTACTGTAAATAAGCGGTCCGTTTCCAGAAGAAAACCGGAATCGAACCGGCTAGCATGCAGTCAAAAATCGACCGCCGGGTGTAACTGTCACCCCTTGGCTGCAAGCAGAAATCCGAGTCGAGAAAAGTCTCCATGATTGCGTTGGTGGAGGTTCCGTTCTCGCACTTTGACCCGCTGCAATCGACGACCCGGCACGAACCGGGTTCGGAGTGGCACTGGTTCAGCAGGATCCCACGGAAGTCGTTGTTGAACCCTCGCGTTGCTCCGGCGAAGCAGAATTGGGTGCGGCGGGTGCGGCCGGCGACGAAATTTTGCCAGTTTTTTAGCTCGGAGGCGGAGCTGGGGTGGAATCCGGTGGGGTAGGGCACGGCGATGTCGAAGTAGTCCCAGTGATTTTTTTCAATTAGCAGGCGCGTGATGTTACGCATCCTCGGCATGTGTATGCAACTGGAACCCCAATCGCCTTCTTTGGTGCGGCGGAAATCCCATGAAATTCTCCCCAGCGTGATGAAATGGTCCCAGCCCTTGGATTTGTTGAAATACGGCTGTTCGCCGATCCAATCCAGCATCGCCTTGCACTGGCGATCGCGTTCTTCGCCGGTGGCGTTTTTGGTGAAGAGGAACTTCTCGACTGCGAGGCCGGTGTAGAACGGGATGTAGAAGGCGGCGGCGGATTCCGGCTCTAGGGTTCTGCATCGGTAATTCAGCATACGGTTGTGGTAGATGAGCTCCAGCGAGAATTGATCGGTCCAATACCACGCGCCGCTGACGTTCTGCGGTACAATTGCTGAAATCCTGTCCGCCGGTTTGCCGAAACCCCAATTCGAGACGGCGTCGCAGCGGGACGACCACGGGTTCAAATTACGGCAGTTTCGCACAATTTCGGCGTTGAATTGCGGCGGCATGTTGTAAACATAGACTTTTCCGTTGGGGCATTTTTTCTGATTAATTGCCGGATTTTTAGAAATCGAAATTCCATCTACGGTGGTAGTACCCTGTTTTATGGTAGTAGGGTTTCCGATGATGGGAGAAGGCTGGGGACTGGAAATATTGTCGGCGGAGAGGGAGAACGGTAGGGAAGGGGCGGAGAGGAGGAGGAGGAGTTGGAGGAGGAGGACGGAGAGGAAGAACCATGTGCGGCGGTGGTGGAATGATAGATAAGGTTTAAGGAAAGTGAAATATGAGTGTTTGCGATCTATAATTATTTCTGGGGTTTTAGGTTTTGAGAAAGGAGGTGGTTCTACAACGGGAAGCATTAGCGTTTTAAGGGCCGGTCACGGCGGCGGAGGCGGTGGGAGGGTGGCGGTTATGGTGGCGATGAAGACTCGGGAAATTGTGGGATGATTTTGTTAGTTGAGGAATTGAAGGTTCGCGTTGTTGGTGTGTGTGTGTTATTATTTATTTTATTTATTAAATAAGGATTTTGATTATATAAAAAAGCGTTGTGTGGACGCGTGCGATTTTGATTTTTCGCAAACCGACAGATATTTAAACGTACGAGATTGTAGTTTATTTTTAATTTTCTATTTAATTAATTAATTGGCACTTATATTGACCAAAAATTAGAAAACCTTGATTATCGGGAAATTTGAATGTCAATTTTCATCCCTTGACTATAAGTTCAGCAAATTGGTGCAAATGCAATTATTATTATACTACTACTACTAATAATAATAATAATAATATTTATGTATAATTAAAAATGTGTGAAACAATGGAATGCAATTGATTGACTGGTACAGCTTCAATTACTTGACTTTAGTTTTCTTTAAGTTTACTATAACGTTAAACTTTTCAACTGGTCCCAACTTAGATTTGTCCTAATAATATATATAATTAGGATATAGTACAAAGAAGTGGAGTAATAATTAACATCATTTAATTAATTAATTATGGTGAAAATATTATTAAATCTCTAATAATCCAAATTAGAACACCTTCATAAAATTCGGAGGTAGATGGCAAGTCTTGTCCCATAATTATCCAAGTACGGGTTGTTGCCGCTTTGCCTTTTTCATGGGCCACCTATTTTTTTACCGTTTCTTTTAATTTTTGGGCATGAAATGTAGAGGTGTAAATGGGATCGATAAAAGTTCGAGTTCGATTTGAGCCTATCTTTAGTTGTCCGTTAGTTCACGAGTCAGCTCACTTAGGTGGTGTTTGCAAATGATTATTTAAAAGCAGAAGTTAGTGTTTGTGATTTAAGTTAGTTTTAAGTGCTTATTTCTAAAAGTTGGGGGTATTTGCAAATATTTCGGAAAATGAACTAAAATTGAAAAAGCAGAGTTATGGGTGTTTTTAAAAAAATAGTTTAAAACAGATTATTTTAAGAGAAGCAAGAGCAAAAGTTGATTTTCCAAACACCTTAAAACAAATTATAAGCAAAAAAAACCGCATAATCACTTTCAAAAAACATTTGCAAACACCACCTTAGTTTATGTGTATATATTAATACAAATTAAAGATTAATGTTTTATTCTGTAATTTATTTATTTTTTTATATAAATAATTGATAATAAAAACTAAAATTAATTTTATGCAAAACATTATAAACAAAATACATAAGATGAGCTGGAGCTTGAAAAAATTGACGAGGTCGGTTCATTTATATAAATAATAAATATAAAATATAATAGCTGTATTATGAGAGGAGAAAAACCATGTAATTTTGCTTCTTTACTTATTTAATAAAATTTGGCATTGTTTTTAGTGGGGGTAAACAAAGGCGGTTCGAAAGAGTACGCACCGTTTAGAGTATGGTGGGCCCATAAAATGTCCATAACCAGTCAGCCCACCATATGCCACTGCCGCTTCCCAACAAAATTCTTTTACCCAAACACCCACTCTTCACTAATTTTCAATTTTATATATATATAAAGAAAATAGGGCGATTTTCTTTAACCAAAATAAAAAATATGTTGCTCGAAATTCAAATAATAGTAGATTTGGAAGATTTTTCTCAAGTTACCTCTTAGAATAATTACTAGCTAATATGAAATAATATAGTGCTCTTCTCAAAAAAGAAAAAAGAAATAAAATAGTGATTAAACTAAAACATGTATATTATACATTATACGAAACTTGGAGATTTGAACTAAGCTTTTAACATAATCTTGATTCCCACTCTTCCACTTTTTTTTTTCTATTTAATGATCATTTATCCCAAATTTATTATTCTTTTTCTTTTTTTTTTTTTGAAATATATTTTGTGCTTACTTTGACCGTTTAATAGTCGTCCGTTAACTTTAATGATTGCTAAGCTATATACCAATGATTTATCATTAGAAAATCCAATATTGATTTGCATACCATTCGAGGACGAAACTAGGAGTTTTAGTTTGGTAACGAGGTTTTTTCGGGGTTTCAGGGGCTGCGTCCTTGATTTTGTTCATGAATATTTACACTGCCAAGTGTCATTCTCATCAAGCAGCCTTTCCATTTAATTCCACGAATCATAGATTCTTTTATAAATTTCATATATTTTATCGAATTTAAAATTTCAAACTCCTAAAATTTGATTTCTCAAAAAAAAAAAAAAAAAAAAAAACCATATATATATCCTAAAAATAAATTTATATCTATACTACGATAAAGTTTTTTTCATGAAAAATCACAAGTAAATGCCAAAATGTTGTGTCAATTCCCTTTTTCAATCATGGATGAGTATCATGGTCTGTTATCTTCTTCTCCTTGGAATAGGGACACTGAAACACTTACGTGCCCTGTTTTCAGCACATAATCATGGGTCAATGGTTTCAATTTTTTTTATTTTGCCGGATTATTAGGTGCACTGGATTAAATATACACTCCTGTATAATAGCTCGCAAACTATACGATAGACGTAAATCACACTATGCAAACAAAAGTCGATTCAACGATCGTTAACAATAAAATTCGAACTTGGATCAATTGACACAAACTCACTAGCTCCAACAATACGAGACTCGACGACTTCCTATTTTATTATTTAATATTATGGGCCTGCAGTATTTTCAAATTTCAATAGAAATTCCTTAAACATTATACCTTTGACCCTCTTCTGATCAAATGGGTTCAAAATCAACATTCGCAGGCCACATAAGTTCATTCAAAATCAATAGCATCGGTCCAAGCCCATCCAATTTTTTTTTTCTTGACTAAATACTCAACACCTGAAATTCACCTCACCATACTCAAGATTCTGATTCTCAATTCATTCATCATTATATATATATGTAAATCAAAATTCTTAAGAAAACATTCTCACAGATTGATCTAGTATGTTCTTATATTGTTCTGATATGAATCATGTGGTTGAGGGCATTTCTGATAATAACAACAAACACTCTAATATTCCGATTATCAGCGATAAATACGTTCATCTTCTCGTAAAGAATAACAAGATTGTCTATAAAAGAAACATCAAATGCAATAATAACAGACTATTTATTCTTAAGGAGCAACGGTCCAATGTTATCGCCAGTCGCCTTGTTGTGCTTCACATGGCTTCCATCACACAGGGGAAATGTCCCGGACCTCCAACACCTGCACCGCAAAAAAAAAACGTAACTTTTTTTGTTATAAAATTCCGAACTATTCTACCAATTATTGAACAAAAAAATCGATAAATGTTTATAACGAAGCAAGAATAAAGTGACACAATCGAAAACGAATACCTTTAATACCTCTTGTAAGTTTATAACAATGACTTGAGTAGAGAACAAACCATTATCTAAATACACACTCAAGATAGCTACTTAATATCTGTGGTTGTGTTCTTCTTTAACATGAAACTATAATCATATCGGAAATTGAAATCGGAGATTTTTTTTGAAATTTTCTGAAATTAATTCGGATCGGAAATTCTAAATATTTTTTTATGTAATTCAAATTTCAATCCAAAAAATTCAGAAAATATAGGAAATTGACATTTTGGAAATCGGAATGAAAAAGGTTGTTCCATAGTAAAAAAATTTCGCATCGGAACCCGTGAAAATTGGAAATAAATTTAAAAATAAAATATTATTATTTTCAATCCCTTATTGTGGAAGCTGAATCTCAGGTGTGAGTGACAGATATCCTTAGAATTCATCTCTGTCAGAGAACCCATAAACACATCCAAATATAATAATAATAAATTATAGTTTGAGAACTCAAATGATATAAGAAAACAAAAAATTACAACAACTATAAAAAACAATATAAAAATCCACTCAAAATAAAAGAAAAAAATAGTGAATTAATGAAATAAACCTGCAGTAGGCAGTGAGTGGCTTGGCGAGCTCAGTGACCACAACCGAATCCACCACTTTATCTTCAGTCTTACGGATATCCGGGTTGATTGCCTCCGCCCTCACCGCCACCATCCGCCGAGGCTTCGCGGCGGCGCCGCCACTTGAAGCCGGCCTAATTCCGTACGAAATTCCAGCGTAGACATTGCAGATCGAAAGAGACGCCATGAGTGTGTAGTACTGTGTAGTGGGAGAAGTTGAATTGAGCGTGGTGTTTGCCAAAACAGCGTCGTATTAGATGAGGCGGTAGATAACCGTACGTTGAAGGTGATGATGAACATGTGGCGGACACGGTCCATTTTTTTGATGGGGCCCGATCGGGTGGACGATGTTACACCCACGTTTCTTTCACCATTATATGTTTTGATTCGATAATCTTTTTTTTTTTTTAATTAATTAATCTTAGGTTTAAATTATTTAAACGCACTTAATTACTTAAAACTTAATTAGGCAGGCTAAAGAATTTTTGATGGGCTGTAATTTCTACATGGGCTCAGCCACTCGCTCAGCCCATGGATTTAAGATGAGATTATATTACTTCTCTACTCAGGGCTCATTTGGTTTGCAAGATTAGGGCTGATAGGATGCTTTATCAGCCCTAATCAGGCGTTTGGTTTGCATGCCCGAGGCCCAATATAGATAAGAGGCCCGATACTGGAATCCCGAATTTATTTGATTATGAATCAGCCCAGCACATCCCTGATTGTGCAATCTGGAATTTCGGCCAGATCCACTTGACAAAAAATGTTATTTAAAAAAAATAATAGCCTTCAAAATCAAACAATTAACCACACACCCTGGTATAAATAATAGAAACGTGTATTTCCCTTCACACATGAACCCTACCTGAGGTAATTCCCAAACACGAAATTATCGCAATTCGCGAATCATATTTTTGGTGAAACAATATATCGATTTACGTTTATTCTTAATGGATTTTTAAAACAACATATGGTGTTTATTTTGGCAGGTATTCAAAGCACGAAGAATTGAAGCTACAAGAAACGAAGCTAAGTAATTATCCAGGTGATTTCTTGAGCTAATGATTATCCAGGTTTGTATCTTGAGTATTGTGTTTGTGGGTCGGTTGTTGTTGTTCTTAATTTTGGGAATTGTGTTTGACTCTGTATAATTTGTTTGTGTAATTTTGTCTCTGTGTATTATTTTGTTCTTAGATTTGTCTGTGAATAATTTTATTAACCTACATCCATTATTGCAGTGTAATTGTGATGGCCCTAACTACAGAACAAGAAGAATGCATTGTTGTTGTACGATTGGCCGATTCACTACGATGACTACCTTATGGCGGGTCTGGAGCGACTATCTCAGCCATTTTCTTCGTTGGAGAATGTTCAGGTGGTCAACAGAATAACCGAGCAAATTACAACTGAAATGTTTTCAGCATATGGAATTATATGCAATTTGTTGACTGTTAAAGGACGTTTACAAGATATTCGCAGTCGGTTTGAAGACTTCGACCAGTACATCAAATTACCAGGGGTGTTCTACGACCGTCTCACTAATCAAGTTTCAGTTGATACAAGTTATTGGGGAAATTTGATGACCAGTGTAAGCGTTTTATATATTTTGCAATTGTAATTGATTTGTCTATTTAGTTGCGTTTATTTGCGTTAATCTTGTCCATCCTGAATTGCTCAGGAAACAACAGTTCAAAGTCACTATAGAGAATTTGGTTTTAAATACTATAATACTTGTGTGACGTTGCTCAACTTGAACAAAATCGGACCGATAGATTTTGAAGTTGTCCGAGTGTTCCATATGCTTCCACCGCAACTCGATGCTGACAACGTTGAGAACGAGGAGTTCGTGGCCGACGAGGTTATGAGTGAACCGATTGAAGCTTAGGAACAAGAAGATGAGAACGTTAGTGGATCCGATGAGGAAACCTCCATAATTACTTGTGTTTGAGAGTGTCTTAAACATGTTTATATTTCTTAAAAAGTCTACAGTAAGTCATGGTACTTTGAGTTTCTTCATTTTCTTTGATTTTTATGCATTTTGTAATATTACTTTGAATCTATCCTACATCTCATGAGTATGCAGTAGTTGGTAATATAATATATGTATGTGTAAGTGTTCGTTGAAGATGATGAACTGGTACTCATAATGATACAAGTAAAAAAAATGATATGTTGTAAGAAAATATAAATATCAACAAGTGAGTGTATTTGCAAAATCCAACTGGTATTAATAGGGAGTAAATAAGGGTGTTATTGTCATTTCACGCACTATCCCATTCTATCATCCACACCAAACGACAAGTACAAATTGTCCGGATGTTTTCAATACTGCAAACCAAACAATAGATTATCTCCATGTAATCTTAGTCTGAATAGTAAAAATACAATTAGTCAAGGGATTATAATATATCCAATCCTGAAAACCAAAAGAGCCCTGAGTAAATTAACTAATTTCAGTAAGATGTTATGTTTTATAAGATTATATTTTGTATTATTTTTTTTTAAATTATATATATAGATTGTCTAGAAAATATTTTACTTAATTAAATTATGATTTAAATTTAATTATATAATTGTTTTTTTTTCTTTTTTGGTCACCTCCTACCAAAATAATTAACAGCTAATGTGAAATTAGACGAGTAGTAGTATAATACTTTTCCATAGTGCTTCAAATTTAAAAAAAAAATCCTATATAATTTTATAGTAATTAATTGAATTTATTCATTCATTCAAAATATTTTTCCTTTCAATTACACAATTTAATAAAAGGAAAACAATTCATAATTATAGTAGGTCATTGGCATGACCCAATCAAAACTCGCCACCTGTCCCGAAACTGATCTTTCCTTCTTTTTCCGGGTCAGTAAACAAAAACGGATATTTCTCTACTCCGAGCAGTAATTGCAAAATTTACAAATTAATGGTGCCATCGATCAAAGAAGAAACCCAACCAACCCAGGAATACTCATTTCTTTACTTTAATTTAACGATTCCCGCCCCCGTTCACACGGCACCACCAACAAAGGAAAAATCTGCGTGAAATTCAATTCCGCAGAAGAAGAAAAAAAATCAGTTTTTCTGGGGCAATGGTGAGAAGAAAGGATTGCGGAAGTTTGATTTTCATTTTACTAATTGTTGTGTTCTGCGCGAAATTGAGTCATTCGGCTAGATCGGAGTACGAGACCAGGGAGAAGTTTTATGGGGATCTGATCAATACCACGGCGTCGGATAATGGCGACGGGAGTATTGCTAAGATGTTTGATCGTGTGTTGGAGAAGGAGTTTTCGGAGAATGATCAGCCTGAAGGTTAGGTCTCTCTCTTTTCATTTTCCCCCCAATTAATTTCGTGTTTTGGTTGAAAATTTGAACTGAATTAACTGAGGCGGCGTGGACTTCTTAATAATTACCCAGGAGTATGCATTCATAGTCAATAAAAAAAAAAAAAAACTGACAATATAGCTTGCCTTCGCTGTAAAATGAATTCATCCAAATAATTTGTCATTATGGATTTAAATTAGTAATTTCAAATACTTCAATCTAAATGGTTCTTAATGAAATGGAGAAAAGGTCTAGAAAGAGTGTGAGCGTGTGCCACTGCCACAGTGTTTCTTGGTGTAGGACTTAATTCCGTTATTTTTTGGTTCAAGCCGCACCACAGTTGTGTTTGAACTTATCACTATTATGTCGACATATAATCTATTCTCGTATATACGATAATATAAGTGAGACAATCATGAACATGAATCTGGAGGTTATAGATATGAGGAAAATTTAGGCCATATTTGTTTTCTTATCGGAATCTGTGACACGAGCAATGTGATTCAAAGTCATATCACTTTCCTCACTTTGAGAGTGTAAGTTGGTGTTGAATTATGATGTAAAGTTCGGTTAGTGGAGGTTGTCACCGTCCACTTTAGTCATGTCCTTTGCGTCACGTACTGAAACTATCAATCTGTTTTGTATCTTACTTTGAGGTTGTGGAACTTCAGCTTAATGCAACGTAGAGCCAAACTTAACAAAAGTAATTTTTGATGTGCAGACTTTATCAATGGCAAATAATGCATGAATTATCTTTCCTGTTTAGTTTTTGTTATTGTATACATTAGGAGATTTTGTAGAAGTGGAGGATTGCGATATGTTAAAATGATGCTTTACCCTTTTTTTCGCCTTTATTAAATGATCTGGTTCATCTGTTATAATGCTGCTTTTATTTTCTTCCTATCGTTCTCGAAGATCCTGGTGGAAGCAGCTTCAATAGCAGTGTAGCAGACCAACAGGTAGCTCTCTTATTCTTAAGGTGCATTGGAAAGCTCTCTTTTTTCAGTTGATCCTAGTTAAAACTTAAAGCTCTATCAAGTCCCAGTTCTACTCTCGTGTTAATGCTATCAATGATAATAAGTCTTGCATTCTATTGTTCGACTGCTGTAGTCATGTAACCAATCCAAGGGAGTTTACTTTTTCGTCATGTTCACATTTTGCCTTATCTTAATCCTTTAGATTTACTTGTTTTTATTGTTATTTTTCTCATTCTGATTTTGATGTCTTTTGGCAGGCCGAATTGGAGACTGTTGCTAAAATCACCCATGAGAAGATAAAGAAGAATGACACCAATGATGCTAAGTAAGTGAGAGATAATGAGCTGCCCTTTCAAATCAAATATGGGTTTCTTAAGTTCTTTTTGCAACTAAGAAAGATGAATGACAATTGCTACTTTTCACTTTTTCGCTCATTTAACAGTGGTACCAAACCGTTCCAACTTCAAGATGTATTTTCCCATGAAAATGAAGATTCTGGTGACATGGCAACTCTAATAGATAAAAAGGTGAGAATGGAGATTTGATCTTTAAAAAAAGAGATGCAGAGTTTTGGAGTTGTTCTTCTTATGAATGAAGCCCTTCTAGAGGCCCTTATTTTTTAATTGCAGGATAATGTGTTTGTGATGTCGAACAGGAAATCAAAATATCCAGTCCTTCAAGTAGATTTTAGGTAATTCCTTTATTTATTATGGTTTTTTGGCAGCTGGTTTATATATGGGTTCTTCAGATTCAATTGTCCTGCACTTTGTCATGCAGAAAAAATAGGAAATTTGTGTTCTTCATGTATATTGAAAATTGCTGCTGTTCAAATTGAGCTATCACTGATTACATATCATATTTCAATGTTAATTTTGTAGGCTAATTTCAGACTTGGTGGTTGTCATAGTATCTGCTGCCATTGGTGGAATTCTCTTTTCCTGTTTAGGGCAACCGGTGTGTACTTGCTTTCGTTGCTCTCCTCTTATTTTTTTGTCCTGATCTATTGTTAATAATTTGAGCTCCTTTAAATTTCAGAGAGTTGTGTGTTCTGAAGAGTTGAAAATTTTCTTATCTACTGGCTATTTACTTAGGTTATTGTTGGATATCTTCTTGCGGGATCCATTATTGGACCTGGTGGTTTGAAATTTATCAGTGAGATGGTACAGGTGTGTTTTCCTCTAATATCATGATTTCCATTTAATGCTGAAATATTTGTTAGTTTTGCAAGGATACATTCTTACTGTTAGCTGAAGGTTTTCAGCTGATTGTAGAAATGAGAACTCAGGCCTTTAAGTTCCTAAGTCATCTGCTTTTCCTCTATTGTTTCAGGTTGAGACAGTTGCGCAGTTTGGTGTTGTCTTTCTTCTATTTGCTTTAGGACTGGAGTTCTCTCTGTCAAAGGTACAATTACTTTGCCCGGTCCATTATTCACTTGCAAATTTTCTAACTTCCTTCTCTATAATGCCCTAATATATGCTACTGATGCAGCTTAAAGTTGTGGGTCCTGTTGCTGTTCTTGGTGGATTGCTTCAGATAATTATTCTTATCTTCTTGTCTGGCATAACTGCATTGGTAGACTTCTGATATTACGATAATTTGTCTTTTATTTGGATGTTGGTTATTAGTATTTATGTATCTCCTACATTATGTACTTGCTGCAGTTATGTGGAGCAAAGTTGTCAGAGGGTGTCTTTGTTGGTTGTTTTCTCTCAATGTCATCAACTGCAGTGGTAAGTAACTATTATAATTGTCTCTTAATTTCTAAAATTATGGATATAGTCATTATACTAATGTTTTGTCAAATTCCTCTTAGGTAGTGAAATTTCTGGTCGAGCAGAATAGCAACAATGCCCTTCATGGGCAAGTGACAATAGGAACTCTTATTTTTCAGGTGTTTTGACCTCTTATTGTTATTTAGCTGGCTAGATACATTTAATTTTCTTTTCTTTTACCTCGATAGGGTGAATATCATTCTTTTCTAACTGGATAATCATCTAGGATTGTGCTGTGGGCTTGTTATTCGCTTTGCTCCCTGTTTTAGGAGGTAATAGTGGGGTTTTGCAGGGGATGGTTTCCATGGGAAAAGTGTAAGCCTGGATAAATACATTTGTTATTACCTTCCCTTAGTAAGTTTCTTTTTGTTGACCAGTTTTCTTTTATTGATTTCAGGCTACTCACTTTATCCATGTTTCTCGTCGTGGCTACTCTATTGACTTGGTCTTTTGTTCCTCGGTTTTTGAAGCTGATGATACAATTATCATCCCAAGTTAGTCAATTTATATACTTCTGAATTTTCTAATATGCTGCATATCTATTTATGTTATTAGGAAGCATACTTTCTTGAGCTTGTTCACATATACAGCTGCAGTACTTTGGGTCTTCTGATGTTCAGAAAGGCCTATATCTTACTCATGAAAATTTGTTTGCTGTATCTGTAGACAAACGAGCTCTACCAGCTGGCTGCTGTGGCCTTCTGCCTGATGTCTGCTTGGGTGAGGACAACATAGTTAAATGTAACTCAAGATTTTGTTATAAATTATCCCCGGTTTTTCATGTTTTTTTTTTTGTTAATATGCTTAACCTAAAATCCTCTGATTCATGTCCATTTTCTCGACTTAATAAGGTGTAACTTGTAAATTGTTGAGGCATTTATATGTGCATAAAAGTTCAATGGTGATCTTATGTGCTTCCACATTTCAGTGCAGTGATAAACTCGGCCTCAGTCTTGAATTGGGTTCATTTGTGGCTGGTGTCATGATATCCTCCACAGAATTTGCACAGCATACCTTAAAACAGGTGTTTTCTGGACGCTGCTACATTTTTTTAATCCTTGATGTAATTTATAGTTCTAGGACTAAGTTAAGAGCTTTGATTTCCTCTCAATTCTTTTTTCCTGTATTGAAGTTTCAATTACACAAGAATTTCACATGATTGTTTGTTTTTAATAGTTCTAGATTAACTCACGAGGACTGCACTTTTTATATTCTAATTTCTTCGGTGTATATAATCATCTAATGGATATGAAGTAGGTCATTATGTAATCTTCTTAGTGTGTTATTGTTTTGTAGGTGGAACCTATACGTAACTTCTTTGCTGCTCTGTTCCTTTCTAGTATTGGTATGCTCATACACGTGCAGTTCCTGTGGACGCATGTGGATATATTGCTTGCCTCAGTTATTCTGGTTATTGTGGTTAAGACGGCAGTTGCTGCTGGTATTACAAAGGCCTTTGGCTACAGTCTTAGGACATCGTTTATTGTAAGTTCAACTTTATCATTATTTACAAAAAAAAAAGAAAAAAAATCTCTCCTAGTCCGCATGATCAATGAAAGAGCCTACAAATGATAACAGGTTGGAGTGCTGCTTGCACAAATCGGAGAATTTGCATTTGTTCTTCTAAGTCGTGCCTCAAATTTGCATATTGTCGAGGTTAGCTTCTTTCGACTTTCAGAAACATCTGTAATTATCTGATGCTACTGTTTTATACATTGAAAATTGTATTTTGACACAAGATTTTGATAATAAAAAATTGCAGGGAAAGATGTATCTTCTTCTTCTTGGAACAACGGCGCTCAGTCTTGTAAGTTTCGTCGCATGTTCTACTCGACTGCAGAGTCCAATAGTCAACTTTTTCTTATTATCCAATGGATAATTATTCTGCAGGTTTCAACACCCATCTTATTCAAATTGATACCGGCTCTAATGCGCTTCGGTGTTCTTATGCACTGGTTTCCATCAGATAGTGTAACTAACAATGAGGTGATTGATACATTTCATCCTATTTCGTACAAAATATATAAAAAAAAATTGCGTCGGGATATTCCTTAAAATACTTGTTCATCTTATTGCAGGAGAAGGTTCCCATGATCCAAACCACATGATAGACAACTTTTTTCGGACCTTTGCAATCACACGATGCATCTGTTGGGTAAGAACCTCAATCAATGCTGAACTAATCACATGCGTGTGTTTACAAAGATTGCACAATTTTTGCGGTTATCAAATACGGATGCTATATAGCCTATACAGTATACACATAAAACATTAGGCACAGTTTTAATTTGGGCGAACCTGGTATTCTCCTGTGTACAAAAATAGCCCTCATATAATGCAGGTACGTATACACAATTTACTGGCTTAGTTTGCTATTTGCACCCACCGATGTAGCAGTGACCAAGACGTTCTATCTTTTTCTTATAACCCAACCTTATTCGAGGCCAACCACTAAAGTTGAATATCTAACTTAGGATATACAAAATTCATTATATTCAACTTTTACACTGACACATATTTACGGGCGCGCGTACACACACACACACACACACACACACACATCACTCGAACACACTCACTTTTTTACACACACGCTCACAAACACTTTTGACACACAAAATGATTACAGAATTGCCGCTAAACAAGTAATAACATAATTGCCACACAACAAGTAATTACAAACATCAAATTAGTAGTAGTTATATAACCACCACTCATCAGTAATTATAAAACTGCCACTCAATAAATAATTGCAGAACTGCTACTCAGCAGGTAATTACAGAACTAACATTCAACATGTAATTACAATTTACAGGATAGTCACACACCAAGTAATTACATAAATGCCACTCAACATCGTAATTACAGAATTGCCACACAAAAAAATAATTACGTACCATTCATTATTAATTACAAAATTACCACTCACCGAGTAATTGCATAACTACCGCTCAACAACAATTACAGAATTGTCATTCATGAAATAATTACAAAATGTCATTCAGTAATGGTTAATGGTTCAAATTTTAATTCAAATTATGTATATATATGCTATTATTTAATGTGCTTTAATAAATGGTTGATTGAAGTATTAGCCCTTGGGGCCATACTAAAACTCCACCACAAGCCCGGCCCATCTGCTCGGGGCAGACTTTTGGCCCAATTGACTGTCGTTCGATAAAGAAGACTTCTATTAAGCATTGGTTCCGTCTCTCTCTCTCTCTCTCTCTCTCTCTTACACACACACACAAAACACACACAGAGAAGCGCAGAGAGACAGGCCCCAGTTGCAGAAAAAAAGCGAGAGAGATGGAGAAGGTTCTGTGCCAGAGGATCGGATGCAATTCGATGTTCTCCGAAGACGATAATCCAGACGGTTCCTGTACTTATCACGAGGCCGTATGTATTCTATAGCCTTCTCATTCTCTTTTATCCTATTAATGTATTTACCACGATCGCTTATGCTGTGTGTTCCGTTCCATCTGCGTAGTTTAATTCATGGTTGAAAAAAGTTCAATTTGCTTTTGTATTTTATTTTTTACCGAAGTGAGCTTAGTTGTTAGTTTTGAAAGTATTGCTGTTCTATAGTGCAATTTTTTTTTTTTTAATCATGGGCTCAATCGATTTTTTCGGTTAGTTGTTTCTTAAGCATCTTGGGAGATGAAACCAAAATTGGATTTGACCTGGTGTTGGCCAATAATTTAAGTTGGCAACGTTTGTGAAATCGAATTAAGTTGATTGAATGTAATCCGAGATGCAGATGGATGAGTTTAACATAGTTGATAAATCAAAATCAATCAGGAGGTAAAGTTAGACGTATTTCATATACGTAGGGTTGTACTTTATTAACTGGATTACATTCCGTTCGTTTATCACATGTTATGTGTTTGCCACATGCCGTTCATCAGGGTGTAGGTTGAATGTTCTTCTGTTTTTTGTCCAGCTGATGATGTGTCTGTTATGATAATGGATTTATATATATCTCTGATACTAATTTGCTCGTCTTTCCAGCCAAGATTTCACGATGGAATGAAAGAATGGAGCTGTTGCAAGCAAAGGAGTCATGATTTCAGTTTATTTATGGACATTCCTGGGTATGTATCCTTTCGTTTTTTCTCCAAACTATGTATTTTCCTTTTGTTAGAGTTAACTTCGTCATCGTTCTAGCATTCTACTGATATCAAGCTGTAATTAGTAGCACATGAATACATGATACCTCTTTATCTAGGTGCCATTAGATACTGATGCACACTTGATCTTTGAACATGTTGCTTCTTAGCTGGACCACTGGGCTTTTAGCAATTGATATGTTTGTGGTAGTTCAAAGTGATTTTGTGTGGACATTCGTTCTTGATCTTATCCGTACAAATTTAGAGTCTGATACTACCTAACACTATATTACACATTTGTTTCTGCAAATTACCATCACTTATCTTCCGATTGGGCTTTTCTTGCATTCCGAAAGATGTTTAATTCCCTTGTGGCATGGAATGTTAACTCACCGTGCGCTTGCACTCATAATAAAGGTGTTTACCATATAGAAGATGAACCATTCATGTGTAATTAATCGTTGAGTTCCATGTCCTTTTGATGAATAGTATTTGCTATTGCCTTATAACTATCTATTATTTGTGAGTGAAATCTGATACCACTGATTTCTGAATTTGCATAACATATCAAAGATGGCAGTTGTTAGAGTTCCTATGTGGTTTATTGCTAATGTTTCACTGTTATTCACATGAATCTTTAACATTCTTCGATTTGTGATTAGAATATGTCAATGTAATCTGATTGCTATTGATATATGAAGTTGCAAGACAGGAAAACACACATCTGAAAAACCGGTGGCGGCAAAGGCAGCTGCAGCTCCAAAGCGACCTGTTCCTGTTTCTGCTCCAACTCCAGTGGCCAATTTGTCTTCAAAAGATTCTTGTTCTAGGTGCCGCCAAGGGTTTTTCTGCTCTGACCATGGTATTTCTTTTTGCCCGTCAGTCCAACTTTTTTGTATGTAGTTTCAAATTACTAATCCTTTGGAGCCCTATCGTAAAGTGAATTGCATTGGTGTTAGAACCCTAAATTAAATTGTAGGTGTTTGTTTCTTCTAAAATTTCACTCTTTTACAGGTTCACATACCAGACAACTGAATCCAAAGCCTGCAAGTAGTGAAACTAAACCGGATATCCAAGAATTCCAACCACCTCAACCAAAGCCTCAACCGAAGAACGTTGTTGATATAAACCAAACTCAAATCTGTAAAAACATAGGTTGTGGTCAAAGTTTTAAAGAGAAGAATAATCATGATACTGCATGCAATTACCACCCTGGCCCACCCGTTTTCCATGACCGAATGAGAGGGGTATGATATACATTTCGCCATCCCATTAATTTCATTTCTCGCCATTGGCTAAAAGTTGTGATTTTTTTTTTTTTTGTTTTTTTTTTGGCAGTGGAAATGTTGTGACATACATGTTAAAGAATTCGACGAATTCATGAGCATAGCACCGTGCACAAAGGGATGGCACAGTGCCGATCCAGCGTAGTCGTAAAAGCCCAAAGGTTTCGTTTCTTTCTCCATTTTGAAATGATTTATCTAAATTGGAAACTTAATTTATGCTGCATTTATCATGACTGTACACCCCTCTTTGATCATAATCTTCATATTTATTAACTAGTGACCTTAATCATCTTTAGCCTGTTTAACTCCTTTATTCATATGCCACCAAATTAAATTATATAAATGGAAAAGAATACAAGTAGTTACACTATAGTCTAGTATATATACATAAATATATATCTAAAAAAAAAAGTCCTTTTTTTTCTTTCTTTCTATTCACACAGTAACTAAGGAAGGGAATTTTGTTGAAAGAAAGATTTGTCAGATTTTCATGTGCTCTGAGAACTCGGCTGACCAAATAAGTGAAGATTAAAAAACTTTACACACACATACACATATATATAATATATAATATATAATATACACACATATATATATGTATTATTACTATTTTATATATATGTGTGTGTGAATTGTATAAATCATGCCCATATAGAATGAATGTGTGATGGTTATCACGGGTCCTATGATGGGTATCATAAATCCCCTTATTTAATTTCTTATCAACAAAAAGCAAGTGGGTCCCACCATATCTCTCTCTACTTCTTTTCTTCTGTTCAGATTTATTAAATTGACCTTTCTTTTCTTCTTTCTTAACCTTTTCTCCCAAAATAGAGATGGGTTTTCAAAACTCCTAAAATTAATAAATTTAAATAAATTTCCTTTAATTTTTTATTCATGTTATTTATATTAAATGATTTTATTTTATTTCTGTATAAAATTCACATGGGCCATAATATCCAGTGTCTATGTTCGTCGTAAACAATACCGACAACCAGAAGGCTTTGATGTAATCGCTGCCTTGCTAACGAAGCGTTGGTGTTAATCGCAACTTCGCTCTGATACCAATTGATGCGATCTCTTGTGTATCATAAGATTTCTTTACTGAACGTAAGAAAACTCTTGTTTATTATTTCTCTTCCTTATAAAACCCTAGCACAATACGACTATTTAAAGAGAATAAAACCCTAGAATCCTAATCTAACTAGAAAAGATAATTACCTATACTAATAAAATACTAAATATCTATCCTATACCTAGAATCCTACGGCTCCTATGTAAACTAACTAAACTAATACTTAAATAATATATATAAAATATACTAATCTACGTAATTAATAATAAATTATGAACTAAACTAATAATTAAACGATATATTATTTAATATATCGTATCATAAAGCCATGGTGAAAAGGGCCAAAACAAGTATCTCACTCAATCATTGTATATATACGTACCAAACAGATACGGTTCACAATTTACAAACAATCAATTACCACATAATTAACGTTTATGTTTATTTAATAATTATAATTATAAGTCGCATTAGGGTCAACCTATTAAACCAAGATCTCCCTTTTGTTAATTTTTTTTTTATCTTCGTTATATTAAATTTAGGCTACACAATACATGTTCTTAGATCGATAGGTTCTCCTAATTAGATGATGTGCGTTATAACCTTTGAAAAGTGATTATGTTTTTTTTTTCGTTCAGAATCACTTTTGTAATGTTTGCCATATTAATTTTTACTTCGACTTCTCTAAGTTTATTTTTAATTTAAATCGTAATAACACCGCCCGATCAAGTTTGTCCCGCATTGGTTATTGAACGAACGAGAGTTGATATACGGTGCATATACGTAGTTTCGGGTTACATTGTCGTAGAAGCCTTTTGAAGAAGGGTTGTATCATTTATGTACAATGTTAAAAGAATTGAATTAAATGGCAAATAAATACAATTATAAATGTATAACCACCAAAAACAATAATCACAGCACAAAAATGGTGTTGGGGGTAGAGAAGAAGCCATAGAAAGCGACACGACACCCAACACAAAAATCTTTTTCAAAGACCTCAAAAAAGTGAATAAAAATTAAATCGCGTTAAATGCCAGTGTCTACTGTCTACACTATGCTATACGGAGGGGGGTGGGGGGCCCACACCAATATCTCACGCCTGTAGGAGGAGCGATGCGCAGCAGTGCTGACGGCGGCCCACCGGCGGATGCGCCGCTGCACGGTGTCTGGTACCTGCCTAATCCCTATTTTTTCACTTTTATCAATGGGCCTACCCTTTTCCTTCTCAGTCCAGGCCCTACAACCTCTCACGTACCGACACGTGGCATCCCCTCTCAGTTGAATGTCTTTTGGATCTCTCCAGAATTTTTTCTCCTCCACAAAAGATTCATTCATCCTCCTCCTCCAAAACAGCTTCACCTATTAAATATATATAACAATAACATTAATAATATAGATTAAATTATGAGCGGATCAGCCGATATTTAATTTAAATTGGATTCCGCTGATTATAATTAGACGGTGTTTGACTAAGCTTATAAGACGTTAAAATGAACTTATAAGATGTTTTAGAGCTTATAAGCTCTTTTAAAGTGTTTGGTATTTTTTTAGAAAAAAAATCTATTTTTATTTAAAAATAAGTTGTTGGAGACCAAATACGATCTTTTTAAATAAGTACATCTACCCCTATTTTTTATTTAAGATCTTATAATGAGGAAAAATAGGAAATAAGATCATTATCCAAACACTCTACTACTTTTTATTTAAGATCTTATAATGAGGAAAAATAGGAAATAAGATCATTATCCAAACACTCTAAAAGTTAAGGGGAAATATGCAATCCCCCCCTAAAATGGAAAATATTATGTAAAAAACCCACTTGACTTTTTAGACTTTTCCCCACACCCATATCCCAATCTTAATTAGTGAGACCCCCTTATTATGATAGGATAAGACATAATTACCCTTAACAACAGTTTTTTTCCCCTTCTTCTTTGCCGTTCTCTCTCACGTGAAACTCTCTCTGTTCTCTCGTAATCTCTATTTCCTCTCTTTTTTTTTTTTTTTTTTTTTCCGTATTCTTCTTTGCAGATCTGCCGCTGCCGCTTGCATTTGAGATTTACACCAGCGTCGCCGCCCTCCTCCCTCCTTTTCACATCACCGCCATTATCCACTCACCCAACCACCGAGATCACAGCCGCCGTCTAGGGTTGTGCCGTCAAGACTTGCTACGGTGTCAAACCTCCCAAAAAACTCATGTTGTCGCCTCCTACACATCACACCACCTTCCTTTCGTTATTTTCGATTTTTTTCTTTTTTTTTTCTCTCCAGATCTGAAGCAGCAACATCAACGTGACTACAGTCTGGTTCGAATGTGACTATTCGATTTTTTTTTTGCTACAGTCTGGTTCGAATGCCGTCAAGACTTGCTACGGTGTCAAACCTCCCAAAAAACTCATGTTGTCGCCTCATACACATCACACCACCTTCCTTTCGTTATTTTCGATTTTTTTCTTTTTTTTTTCTCTCCAGATCTGAAGCAGCAACATCAACGTGACTACAGTCTGGTTCGAATGTGACTATTCGATTTTTTTTTTGCTACAGTCTGGTTCGAATGCCGTCAAGACTTGCTACGGTGTCAAACCTCCCAAAAAACTCATGTTGTCGCCTCATACACATCACACCACCTTCCTTTCGTTATTTTCGATTTTTTTCTTTTTTTTTCTCTCCAGATCTGAAGCAGCAACATCAACGTGACTACAGTCTGGTTCGAATGTGACTATTCAATTTTTTTTTGGCTACAGTCTGGTTCGAATGCCGTCAAGACTTGCTACGGTGTCAAACCTCCCAAAAAACTCATGTTGTCGCCTCATACATATCACACCACCTTCCTTTCGTTATTTTTAATTTTTTTCTTTTTTTTTTCTCTCCAGATCTGAAGCAGCAACATCAACGTGACTACAGTCTGGTTCGAATGTGACTATTCGATTTTTTTTGCTACTTTCTGTTTTCGTGTTCTTGGAAGTTTCTCAGCAACTCATGATTACTTTTGGCATTTAAGGTTTTTTCATTGTGATTGTGTGTGTTTAAATATTAGAGAGAGAGAGGGAGCCTATCATCATACTTGAGTTAGTGGAGTCGATATATATGTATATAATGATTTTTTATCAATTTTTTTATTTATGTATTTTTCAATTTCTCCTTCTTTTTTCTTTTTTTCCAAATCTGAAAATACAGTTCAAATATGTACAGTAGCAGCAACATGACTATAGTCATATTTATGTATTTTTCGAATATGACTACTGTTGAATATCATTGTAGTCATATTCGAATATGTTCTATATTCTCGTTTCAAGTTGACTTGTAATAACAAGATTCAAATTGTGATTTTTTGTGATCTTTTTGTGTGGATGTTGATTGCATTGTTTCCCTAAACAATAGGGAATTTTAGTTGTTTTATATAATTTGATAAACATCACTTTACCTCACTATATAATTGGAATTTTGAAGTTACAAATTTTAAAAAATGCAATATAAAGAAAGAATATGACTACAGTTGATATAGTCACATATAGTTATATTAGACTATAGTCTTATTCAACTATAGTCATATTCGGCGTAGTACACTTGTCGGGGAAAAAAAATCAATTTTTCGTTAAAAAAAATTAAGAAAATATGCCTATAATCTTATTCAACTATAGTCATATTCGGCGTAGTAAACTTGTCGGGAAAAAAAATCAGTTTTTCGTTTAAAAGAATTTAAGAAAATATTAAAAAAACATGAAAAAAAAATAATTAAAAAAAAAACTTCATCTTGCACGTGAGTTTTGATTTTGTATGTGAAGAAGCAATTTTTCTTTTTTTTTTTTATTTGTTGGCTGATTTTATGGAGTATATTAAGGTGATTTTTTATTTTTTTTTAATTAGTTGGCTAATTTCAAGGGATTTGAATATTGAGTTGGAAAAAAATTACTATTATTTTGGTATTATTTAAGGAAAGGGACGTGTATTACTGGGATGAATTATTTTTGGGTAGGAGATTTTCTAATTTCAGAAGGGTAGTATTGGAATTAATATTTATAGGGGTTTATCACAAAGAAAGATTTAAGGGTTGAACATATCACCATTTATTACTCATCCAAGGGGTTTATTGCTAAAGACCCCAAAAGTTAATACTAAGAATTAGATGTACCAGCTTATCAGCTCTAAAAACATCTTATCAGACGTAAGAGCTTATCAGCTATTTAAAATAAGCTTAGCCAAACACCCTCTTAGTGTTAGAGGGGTTATGGGTTCTGCTTGGATTTTTGTTTTTCTTTTTCCAATTATAGAATCATAATTATACTTTTATTTAAATTATCCACATGTCACTCATCCGCATCCAATTTTCCTATTAAAACATACCATTCGATCTAAATTTGCACCAATAATAATAATAATAATAATAATAATAATAATAATAATAATAATAATAATAATAATAATAATAATAATAATAATAAACATTAATATTAATTAATAATAATAAATAAAATTGAGATTTGTGGATGAATAGAGCAGACAAAGCAAAGAAGCTTTTATGAAAAGTCATGCTGACTTCTTTCGTCAAAGATACTGCTACTGTCTCTGGATTTTCATTCAACTTTTTCTCAAATAATATTTTTTCTCAACAAATTATTTTACAGCATTAATAAAATAAATATTACTAAATTCAAATTGGAATTTAAAACAACAAAAACAGTGATTTTTGGTTATTTTTCGAGGCATAATTAATTATCTTATAGTACGAATGATATATGCCGATACAAAGCAGGATACTGCAGCATTTAATTGATTCAACTTTTCCTTCTTATTTGTATTTATATAATTAATTAAACATTTCAATTTTATTCTCAACTGTTCAATTAAATGTCCGGGGAAAGAAGTTGAAAAAAATAATAAATCAATAATAACAATGATGGCTAAATAACCTAAATCAATAATTTGGCTTTATTGCAATTTGTGGTTGTATTATTAAGTACTAAAAGAAGAGCCATAATTATATTTATATCTCACCACAAAAAATGGTTGCAATACAGAAAATAATATTGCAGAATACTTGTATATTTAATTTGGGGTGAAAATGAACATAAAAAGAAAAAAAAATTGATCCACACATTTTATGATATGATTTTTATATAGTAATTAAATTCCATATTAATGTTATGTACATCTCCCACGTGATTGGGGACTTCTTCTGTGGGCATCTTTCTATTTCCTACATCTTATAGCTATTCAGCCTAATATCATAAACCACTATATTTATTATCTGCAAATATCTATAATTGATAAAAGAATAATTTAATATTTAGTGAACTGATAAAGCAACATATAATACAGAATTTTATTTTCCAATTCGATTGTATTAAAGTAAAATATTGGGTAATAGCAATTAACCCCCTGTATTTTGAGTGTTCTGCACATGACCCCCTATACTTTCAGTATAAGCACATGCCCTTTCGTAATTTGAGTTTTGTACACACGACTCCCTTGTACTTTTAATATTAGCACATAACCCGCTTATGATATTCCACTTAGTAATAATCATGGTCATTACGAAGATGAAATTTTTGAAAGTACAAGGGGCTATCTGTTATATCGAAAGTATAAGGGATTCATGTGCAAGAAGTTCAAACCAGAGGGGTTAATTGTTATTTACCCTTCAAAACTTAAGATTGTTTTAGTAATAAATATACATCTAAAAGTTATTTGAATTCAATTTAAATTATAATCAAATTAGTATATAAAATAATTCATCACATCAGATAGAAACTCAAATTAATTTATCTTTAGATATCATAATACATAATACATTCTTGAAAAACATTCAAACAATATTTTGCTTTGTTATATGAAATGAAATGAAATAAAATAAAATAAATAAATAAATAAATATATATATATATATGTACATATACACAAGTAAGACTTAGGGGTGTAAATGAGCCGAGCCGACTCGTGAGCTCGAAGAGCCGGCTCGTAAAAAGCTCGAACTCGGACTCGAGATTTTCGAGCTCGAGCTTTCTGACGAGCCGAGCTCGAGCCGGTTTTCAGTTGTTCATGAGCTCGCGAGCCGGCTCGCGAGCCGGATTTATTATTATTTTTTTTTTATTTTTTTTATTTTTTACATGTTATTTTTATTTAAATAATGTATAATAATGTAAAATATTATAGAAATAAATACAAATATTAAAAATATATATAATTACAATTTAGTTTTTATTTTTTATTTTTTTAAATAATTTTTAATAATAAAATAATAATTAAAAAAATATTTAAAAAAAAAAAAAAAAAAAAAAACAATGGGCTCGAGCTCGAGCTCGAGCTCGACAAAATTGACACGAGCTCGAGCTCGAGCCAAAAAAAGAGGAGCTCGACGAGCTCGAGCTCGAGCTCGACAAAATAAACTCGAGCTCGAGCTCGAGCCAACCAAAAGAGGCGAGCTCGGCTCGTTTACACCCCTAAGTAAGAGAATATCCTGTGACCCCATAAAATTTCCAAATATCAACAACAAAAATTCATTAAAATCGCAGTCCCAATAAATGATTCCATACATAATTGTGAAAGCTTGATTGCATCACCCTGCTCTGATCCTCACCCAAAAGGCTCAAATTATATTTCCTTACTCATCAACAAAATGGATTCTTACTGTTCCTTTTCTGACCTCTAAATTAAAACAATTGCATCAAAAAAATTATTATTTTTCTTTATTTTAATATAATATATATATATTTTTTAAATATTTTTTTTAATCATGGTTTCTTCTTTAGTAATATAATTTTTTAACCCAGAGTAAAAAAGTTACCTTAGACTCCATACTAAGAATGTTTTTCCTCCAATTTGACTGCCATTGCTGTCAAATTAAAAAAGAATAACTGGCCAAAAAAAAAGAAAAAAAATTAAAAAAAAAACAATAAAGAAATTCACCAATGAAAACGAATACAGAGTGGAAATAGCAAAATTATCGTCCTTTACGTTTCAAGCCAGCCATTGTACCCAGAGAGTTATCGAGCACGCCCCACTCGCCAACCCCACACGCGAATTCAACAAGTGTAGCCACGCGCTTCCTTTTTGGTCCCATATCATTATTTGGAATCATGTATGCATGTAGAATTGTAGTATAGTCCATAAGTTATTAATTTGGAGTTCAATAATTTATGCACCTTGTCTTCTTTGCATTTTGCATGTTGTCTTAAAATATGTACCTTTCCTTCATTTTTTTTGTCTTTATTATAATAATAGTATACTTTTGTATGTGAAAATACAAAAATAATTATATACTTAGATTCGATATAGACGAGTACAAAGTAATATACAAATATGTACTTAAACTTTGCCTAACAATGTATATTATAGGCTAATATAATCTATTAAGTGATGTTTAAGTTTCAAACTAGTAAAAAAACCACCTAATCCTACCAACTTCATGATTGAACTTAAAAGCTTATAAGTATAAGCCGGATTGTATGGCAAATTACAATCTCCCTGGTGTAAGATGAAATTACGAAAAAAATCCTTTTATTTTGGTTAAATGTAGCCTCCCCTATTAAACTATGGATTTCTTTACGAAAACCTCCATGTTGAATTGATATTTTTGACACTGTAAGATTAGGCGTGTAAGTTAATAAAACATTGCTAATGAATTTTTTTGTAATTTAATATTATCTCGGGGGTGACCGTAATTTAGCTTTGGATTTTATTAGTAAACTTGAATAAGATTATTGTTAATGAAATTTGATTTTTATTTTTAATTTTTAATTAATTAACTTATACTTGTTGAAATTGATTAGCAAGGCGCGTGTATGGGAAGAAAGGAAATTGAGAAAACCAAAATAATAATAATCTGTCAAAAAATGCAACTACTTCGGGAAACGGCAGTACGGCTGACGGCTGCTGTTAACACTACCGCCCGTCTATCATCTTTTAACTTGATAGTTTCTTCCCAGTCACTGTTTAACGTCGCCTCACCGCCGTTTAACTATATCTTCTCTCTCTCTCTACCTATACGTACACACATATATATATATACACAATTTTTTCTCTCTCTTCATAACGCAACGTTGCAAATGGTGTAACCTTTGTGTACAGTACTCTCTGCAGCGCTGTTGGGAAACATTTAACGCACTCTCTCTCTCTCTCTCTCACACACACACACACTCACTCTCTTCCCTTATTGCTTCTGCTGCTCTGCCTTACAGTTCACGCCAAACGCCTGCTTCTCTGCAACTATTCTACTTTCTCTCTCTCCCTCTCTCTCTCTCTAAAAACACATATTACTACAAACGCACAATACCTCAATTCAATTCTGATTTGTCTATCACATTTCAACTATGAGGAGAGAGAGTGTGATAATTTGTGCCGAGTAATAAACTGAAGTTCCAATTCTAGGCTACATTTTTATTGTATTTCCGCCCCCCCCCCCCCCCCCCCCCGGGGTGGGCCTCTCTGCGGGGGGGTTGAACAAAGGGGGAAGAAACAAGGTTTTTCCTGGAGAGGGAAAACAATACCAAAAACCGGGTGGCCCGGTTTGGGCCGGGATTCCCCCCTGGATGGGCCCCCCCCCCCACTCTCAAGGAAGAAAGGAACCCTCCTTCCTCCCCGGGGTCCATTAAATTTCCGAAACCCGCGGTAAAGGGGGGGTAACAATTTATTTGAAATTGGGGGGGTTGGCCAAAATCCCTTGGGGGGATTGGCCCCCGAAAATCTATTCCCCCTGGGGAGAAAGGGAACTTTGGGCCTTTCCTAATTTTTAATTTCCCCTTAATTGGGGAATTAAAATTTTGCCCCTTAAGGGAAAATGGGAATTATGAGGTTAAAGCCGGGAAGAAAAAACCGGCCATTTTTTCCCCAGGGGGAAGAAGAGAAAAAAAAGTTTTGAACCCCCCCCTCTCCCTAAAAACCAACCTCCCCCCCCTTAAATGAATCCCTGGATTCCAATA